AACTAATCCATAGTTGCTTCAGACGCAAGAAATGCAGAGCTCATGTTACAAATGTGTTCATTTTGCTCTAAAGCTTTCATTTCTATTGAACAGAGGTTCAAATGCTCAATCTGGCTGGAAATAACTTTGGAAGACCCAAATGTGACCTGCTGAATATTGACCTTCCCATCATAGAAACTTGTGAATGGAAAGTTAGTGTCCACAAACTTCTCCTTTGTTGCTTGACACACAAGAAATGCAAACCTCATGCTATTCTGTTCTAAAGTAGTCGGTTTTATTGAAGACAGCTTCGAATACTCAATTTGGCTGGAGATAACAGGGAAGACCCGAAGTGTAGCAGCTGAAACTTTACCTTCCCGTCATAGATTTCATCCTTGTGGTTAACATCAATACCGCCAGAAGCCATGACCCGAACAGGATTCGCTCCAGCAAACAGCCTCATGAGATCAAAGAAGTGGCAGCATTTCTCCACCAGAGTTCCCCCTGTGTTGGCATTAAACCTGTTCCAGTTATGAACCTCGTAACAAGCATCAAGAGGAAGAAGAACAAATCAACTTCAGCAAAACACAGGAATACTTGGAAAAAAGAACCATTAACTAGCTTTCAGTTTCATTATCTTTCACCTTGACCAGAAATGGAAGCCTGTCGTCCCTTATTGGCACCATTTTCTCATATCATAGAGATCCACCTTTGACGATCTGGATCAGCTTCGCGACTGGAGGCATGTATGGGTATTCTCATCCGACTTGGACTAGCATGTCTGGTCTCTTCTTGGCTGATCCACAACCTAAGAGGTGGAAGAAGAAGTGGAATAAGTTAGTGGAGAAGAAGAGGAACAAAATAGCCACTAAGCTTGATTTTTGTGGCAATTTCACTACTTCATACAATGATACAAATGCTACTGCCTATATTTGGGGTTACAGCTATATAGATACCCAGTAATTCTGCCATTTTCTTAGGATATTTAATGGTTAAGTTGTTTAGATTTTGTTATCTAATTTGTCAATCGACCAAATGATAATAAGTTCATTGAAGACAAACCTTGAACTATTAAATTGCTAATTTTGCCGAATTAAGGAAAAAACAAGTAGCATCTAGGTCACTTTAGAATCGGGTTTTTAACGAAATAAATATATTTAAAATAGCATGACATGTTTGGAAATTATTGTTTAGTCCACTTGTTAGAATATGACTTGAATTTGTTTTGAGTTTGTTTTGTGTTTGGGCCTATTTTGTTTGGGTTTGGGCTTTGGGCTTTGTTTGACCTTTTCCTTGTACATTTGGGAAAATGTGTTTGGTTTTCTGTTTGAGATTAGGAGAAGAGTTCTATAAATACTCTTCACCACCATAATCTGTTGTAAGGTCAGTCATGTTAGTTTGTTTGGTTTGTCCGTTTGGAATTTGGTTTGTAACCTGTACTCTCCTCAAAATCAGTGAAATTTGTTCTCCCCTGCCCTTGGATTAGCTAGCACACATTGTGTTAGTGAACCACGTTAAATTTGTGTTCGTTTGTGTTGTTTTGGGATATCGATTGCACGCTTCTGTTCTGATACCACTCACAATCATATTTTTCAACAATGCATATGCATAGTATTTTTTAATGTATAAAATAGCATTAAATGTTGATGTTTCGAGTTATAAATTGAACTTGGATTATCAAATATTCAAATGAACATAAATTAATAAAATGATTTGGCATAATACGGAAGCACAAAATTTAAATGTGTAAAATACATACGTTCATATATATAAAAGAAATGAGGTTATTGTTGTCTAATAAATTATAACTTAGTACCTCACTTCTTCTTTATATATATTAAACCTCACTTCTTCTTACATTTTACATTTTGATACCACAAATTTAATTAAATTATATAACTTAGTCACTATAATGTACATTTTACATTTTAATACCCAAATTTAATTTTAATGTAAAATCATTGAACAATTATGTTTTGGTATCTAAATTTTATGAAATTTTCGTACCTACAATTTTTTAAATTTACATATTGGTCCAATGTTTAGATTTCACTTGAATTCATGAATCCAATCCACCAATCCTTTTGAACCAATCCATGAATCCAATCCACCATAACATAAAAGTATAAATTTAGTTTGTACCATACAATATGTTGTATCACTCAACAGTCGGAGAAGATTCGACCATTTTATATTTGTTCTTTATGTGAAACATAAAATAAATGATAAAAGAGAGACGACTCTAAAATATTGCAAAAGTGAATTTATAAACTCATTTAGTAGATTTACGGGGTACTAAACAAACTTCTACTAACTACATGTAACAAAATATGCGACATCTACATAAACAAGTGTCAATAAATTGCTATCGTGAAAGGGGTTGACTTTTGTATTGACGGTCAATTAAAAGAATTGGTCAAAACCTTTCCATCATTTACTTACTCTTCGTTTCATTTTTCACTCGCCTTCCATAACCCTTTCTTTATTTCTTTCTTTGCCTTCTTCGTCCAACCCTAATTAATATACTATTATTTTTATGCATTCTAATCACAAGTATGACCGAGTCCATGCACGACTGACCAATAGTCTAGAGAATTAATAATTGAACCATGAACCACTAACTTTTTCAGCTCAATGTCGAGTCCAATTAAAAGAAAATATATATGGTTATTACTTATTACAAAGTCGTCATTTTCCACTACGGGATTTGAAGGCATGAAAGAAATTAAGCCTCAACTATGCAAATTACAGTTCAGTACCTAAACATAATATATCTTTAGATTTATAACCTAAATTTTTTTTTTTTGGCATATAGTCCTCAAAATATTGATGGGACATTACCTTTAGTACATATAATTTTTTTGTATTACATTTTGGTACCTAAACTTTTGAAGTTCTATAAATAGGTCTAATTTTGTATGTGTAAATAAAAGACCCTCGAATAAATAGGTATTCATACCCAACTCATACACATTTAGATTATGTAAGTAAACATCCATACCCTACGCAAACCCCATCTACAAACTTTTAAACTCATATATACGTCACACCCTACCCATAATCAATGGGTCTACTTGGTTTTAAGTAAATATAATTTATTAGCCATTTAAAAAAAATGGATGTTGACCGTCATATTTCTCAGTCAATAACACTATAATGGGCCACATATTACATGTCCATATGTCATTTATGGCCCGCGACAAGGCGCGGCATTGCCACCTAGTATATATATGTGGATTAAATAAAGTATATACAAACTTGCTAATGAGAATAAAATGATATTTTTAAGGAACTATAGGTTTTAGAGAAAATAAAATGATATTATGATAATAGTTTGAAGTACTTTCTAAATGTGAAAATGAGTTGGTATCCAATCTAATATCCAAATGAATCGATATATTTTGTTGAAATGGTATCATTTACCCACCCAATACCATTATTAGGCACTATGAAATGAAGAAAGAACAACTTCCAAATTAGAAAAAGAGCAATCTCCAATCCTAACCCAATAAGGAAAAGAAACAAGCAAGACAAAGATTCAGTTTGACCCTGCTGTAGTTTTTTAGAAATAGCTTCTGGCTTGAACTTTTAGAAAAGTACTTTTCAAAAAAATCAGTTGAGTGTTTGGCTGCAAAAACTATTAGAAGTGCTTTTTAATATGAGAGTTGTGTAAAATAACTATAAAGGACTTATAATATAAACTATGAATAATAATTTAAATAATAAAATGTAGTCAAAATGGATCTTGTTAGACTTCTTTTATATTAAATAATATGATTTTATAATTTATTTTATTTTTAAAATAATATAAATGTAATAAAATAAAATTTTCTAAAATAAATTAAAATATGGTAAGGATAATCTTGTATTTTCAAAACAGCTTTTCGCAGAAGCTCCAAATCGTAGCTTCTGCTTTTATGTTATACAAAAGCCGAGCTTTTAGAGGTGTTCGGCCCTACTTTAGCTTTTGAAACTGAAAAACACTTCTAAAAACCGGGCCAAACATAGGCAAAAGCACACAAATGGCTCAGCCACTCAGGATACGTCAAATCACGGGCCCATGTCATGTTGATCGGTGACTCGACTGAGATCGGCGATGACTATAGTTTGTAAATACTCCGTTTAAAACATTTATATGTACCTAGGGCTGCAAATGAGCCGAGCTACTCGTGAGCAACTCGAGGCTCGAATCGGGAAAAACTCGTTCGAAACTCGACTCGTTTACTATCGAGCAAGCTTTAGCTTAGCTTTGTTCAGCTCGTGAAACTCGCGAGCTAGCTCGACTCGATGGCTTGTTGAGCTCAACTCGTAAGTTGGCTCATTTAGAGATGTCTCAACATTGTGGTTTGAGGGGCAACTTGATCACCGACTTATGGACGAATCGATTTAATTTTGACTTTCATAATTCATAAGATTGTTAAATTATATATCTCACATCATGTGAAGTTTAACATGTTGAACATGTAAGAAAATATGCCTGAATTCTATAATGAAATTATGTACAAAATTGTTTCGATACTATAAAATAACATGATTTGAACTAGTTAAAATTTATTAACTAAACAATATGACGCCTACAAATTATAATATAAGATTAATTAATGTTGAACATTTGATTTTTTTTATTTTATCGTTACATCAATCACATGTATCATACACGACATACAAAATGAATCTATCAAATATGATCTTAGAATTTAGTAAGCAAGCCTAGCTCGAACTCGACTAGACTCCATTCGGCTCGTTAATAAATAGCTCGAACTCGAGCTCAGCTCATTTGTTAACGACTCAAGCTCAAGCTGGGGTAAAACTCCGCTCAGCTCGACTCATTTGCAGCCCTATATGTACCCAATCTGCGGTGACTCGCTGCCTTCTTCCGCAAGACTAAACGGCGCGTATACTCTGCCGTTTTCTGCAGCCTTCTATTCTTCGGCTGAGCATTTTTTCGAATAAAAACTTTTCATTTAAAACCCTAAACCACCAGAGGAGACAAACCAGTTCCCTCCCTCCTCCACGAAACCATGAAGTTCCGATCTACGCACAGGCTCCCCGTTTTCCTCAACTCTCATCAGTTCAACTATCGCCGTCTTCATCACCGCCATTTCTTCATTTCTTTCCACAAGAAATTTCATTCGACGTCGCCGACTCGTGCCGCTTTTAGCAATGCCGACGGTGGCAACTCTAAAGGTCAGCTCTCCAGTACAAATAGATACTAGCCTAGCTTCTCTCGTTTTCGGAATTTCAAGTTACTGGACGCACTTAATTTCTCGTTTGACTTCTTGAGAATTTTCATAGGAAACTCAGATGGATTGGTTCCTCATTTCAGTTAGCTCATTGTTGTTGGTGCTGAAGAAGCCATACTCTACTTTTTACTTGGATTTTGGCTGCTTGATGTCTTCGTGGTGCTTTTAGGTTACAGTATCACAGTAGAGCAAATTCACATTTTGACTTTTCGAGCATACTTGCTGAAAGGTTGCATGGATTTCATGAATTTGAGATGTATAGTAATCTTGGTTTGAATTTTGGTAACATATGCTGAATATACTGGCTGATTGTGTGTCCAATGAGCTGAGTGATTAAAGCTACTTCCAGTTGTGGTAAGGGGGAGTATCGTTGTTGGCAACTACAGTGTATGATGATTTAAAGTTGATGTTTCTGGGACCTTTTTTGTATTTTTAGCTTGTAGAATGCAGTTTTAGTTGATTGTTCGATGTCTTTGCAGGCAATGCTTTCCTGGTACCTGGTGCAACTGCAGCTACCTTACTTATGCTTGGTGTGCTGCATGCTCGTCGGATGTATGATGACAAAAAGGTGTGTATTTGTGTCACCTATCGCTAACCCATTCTCTAAGCTTTCCTTGTGATTCTTTAGTCTTATGTCATGCACGTCTTTGATCTTTTCATCAAGTGGGTTCCTGTATGCATTCATGGTCTTGATAATGATCAATTCTTGGCTAATTCTGCTTTTATGTTGTGGTGATTCTTGGTTTGTGGTTCCTTGTTCTTATGGGGCAGTTGGAAGAGGCACGAGAGAAAGGGGTTGAAATTGAATTCCAACCTGATGCAAAAGTAAGTACTGTTTTGCTAGAAGAATTATTAGATCCATCATTATCAAATTGCGAGTTCTAAATGAGGTTCATGTTGTGCATTTTACTTAACCCTCATTGACCTTTTGTACTCTAGGCTTCATTTTTGAGGATGCTACCCTTACGCTCCATTTCCAGAGTTTGGGGTTCTTTAACTAGTGTGGTGAGGATTCCTTTATTTTTAGGATGCCTGTTAATTCTTAAGCTTTTGGATGTGAAGTTATTAAAAAACATGTACTTTCAGGAACTCCCTATCTGGCTGCGCCCATATGTCTATAAAGCTTGGGCAAGAGCATTTCATTCAAGTATGGTTTCTGGATTTGATATCTTTGGTGTTGATTTGTTTAGTTCTACACTGCTCTTTTCCCAGCACTCTTGTTTATGATTGTGCAACTGTCACTTAAGGTTGGCTGAAAAGAAAATGCCCCCTTCTTGTCCAAGTGCAGACTTGCAAGAAATGTCTCTCCCTCTCGAAGAATATTCTTCTTTACGTGAATTCTTTGTCCGCACATTAAAAGAAGGGTCCAGGCCTATTGACCCTGACCCACATAGTCTGGTAACTGGTAACAAGCTTCTTGCTGATGTTTCACATCCATACTGCTGTTATTGGAGATAGTGCCAAGCAGTGAGTAGTCTGTAGAGCATCTCATTTTGCATTTTTGCAATCTCAGGCCAGTCCCGTAGATGGTACAATTCTAAGATTTGGGGAATTGAAAGGACGAGGGGCTATGATTGAACAAGTCAAAGGGTTTTCGTATTCTGCTTCTTCCCTACTCGGAGCTAGCTCCTTCCTTCCTATGGTAGCTGAAAGGGATGTGCCTGAGGAAACTAGCGAAGACCGAAGTGACCATAAAGAGAACAGCCAAAACGCACAATGGAGAATTTCATTGTCTTATCCTAAAGCCAGGGACACAGTGAGGGCAACAAGGTAAGTCAACTGTTCTTGTTGCCCTACACTCTAGAATGACAGAAGTATATGTTAAGTGATTCAATAATTCCTTTGCAATGGCCTCCGTGGGAGTAGATCATTGATTCATGTTATTCATTGCAGTCCAGGGAAAGGGCTTCACTACTGTGTAATTTACTTGAGACCTGGAGACTATCACCGCATACACTCACCAGTTGATTGGAATATTCTCGTTCGCCGTCACTTTTCAGGTGGTTTATTGCAACATATCAATTTGTCGTTCGTATATTGTGATGCATTGAACTCGAGAGCATTATCCATTATATCCATTTCTAAGTTTCCAAGTTGCTTTAACAAGTTACTGATCTGCTGATCTCTTCATGAGAGTGTGCATGAAGCTTATAATCTGTGATGATATATCTGAATGCTTAACCTAGCATTAAACTGTTACATTGTATTATGCTATTGTAGCCTGTGGGGAATAAGCAAGTTCAATGTATGGTAAAGCATGATCTTGAATGCTTAAAAAGATCATTGAACATGACATTTAATCTGACTTTAACCTCGGTATAGGAAGTAGAAATGATTGAGCACTGTTTATCCATGGCTTATGATTAGTGTATAGTTTATCTCTGGATTTCCTTAAACTCGTCAAGTATGATGCTGTATGCCCTGAATATTAAACTACTACTTAATAATCTCTCAGGACGCCTTTATCCAGTGAATGAACGTGCAGCAAGAACAGTCAGAAATCTGTATGTTGAGAATGAAAGGGTAAGCATCACTGAACCAATCAACCAACTCAATGTGCTTTATTTTAAGTGCAATAAGTAGTGTCTATTCTGGTCATCAGAGCTAGTTTGTGTCTGATCTTTTGTGCTTAATCTGAAAGCTTCCGCTCTGTAAGTTTGGAAGTTCATATAATCAGTCAGACAGGAAGTCAACCATCAAGACAATGGTGCAAACTTGTTAGCTTGTTAGTTTTATATTTATGGAGAATTGGTTTGGAACATGTTCTCATCCACCTTGGATATCATCTCATTGAGTCACTGAACTTCCATCACGCAGGTAGTAGTTGAAGGTCTATGGAATCAGGGATTCATGGCCATGGCTGCAGTTGGTGCTACCAATATTGGATCAATTGAGGTCAGTCAATTTGTTTGCATGGTGCTCCTTGGTAGTTACTATGTGAAGTATGGCCAAGGAGTGACTCCTTCGTGCAAGGGACATAACTGAAGAATGTATTGGAAGGGTCTTTCATAACTAACATTATTTTCTTGGTTATAATGGTGTACATGGCAGCTTCTCATTGAGCCAGAGCTTAGAACAAACCTGCCAAGAAAGCTGCCATCTTCTTCTGATCCTCCAGAAGAACGGGTTTATGAACCTGAAGGCATCGGAAGACTAGTCAAGAAAGGAGATGAGGTTAGTTATATATTCAGATGTGCTAAGTTGTTTCCAGAAAACAATAGTTCATATGAATATGTTTCCATGAGCAATGTGAAGGAAAGACAGTCTCGCAAATGAAGTTTGGCCTTCAAATCTTTCTTCGCAGATAGCTGCTTTCAACATGGGTTCAACAGTCGTGCTTGTCTTTCAAGCTCCTATGTCGAAACCAGCCAAAGATGGAAGCCCATCTTCAGAATTCAGGTTCAACATCAAACGTGGGGATCGAGTTCGAGTTGGAGAAGCACTTGGCACATTCCATGATGTATAGATTACAGAAGCATTTGCTCATTTTGCTGAAGTTTTATGGTTCAGCTAAGCAAAGCAGACATCCGAGTGTTTCATACTTCCACTGAGATTCACTGCTGTACAACCTCCATGTTGTCAACTTTGGCGAAGTTTACTTGTGAAAGTTCGTTGTAATTTTAGGGAACAGTCGCTGGAATTTACTGGGTTACTCCTGAGTCATGATCTACACCTTGTGTGAGACATTGCCATATGGGAATTTTGATCCCCGGAATGGTTAGTAAAATCGTGTTGAAGATCTACTGCTTGTGTGAAAATGTATCGAGCCTAATCATTCAAGGTTTTAGGGTAAAGGAGTGAAAATTATCAGAGACAATTAAACTAGTAGAACCAGTTGTGGTGCAATGTAGCTCGAGATAGGTTTCACTGGTTTACCCAAAAAGTGAAGTTACTTTGCCAAGCAATTTCGCCTGTTCAGAGTGTTTTATTATTTTGGATAAGGGTGATATAAGTTTTTTATTTTAAAGTACTACTTAATGGATTTGAACCTGCGACCTCCGAGTTCTAGATTAGTGATCTTATCAGGTTCTAAGCCTGTTCAGAGCGTTTTAAGGATCACCTGTGCGAATTACAGAATGGTTTTTAACAACTGCTACAAGCTTAAGTCCACAACAGTGCAACAACAATTGGACCTGATCAAATCTCTAAAGTGGCTTCAATTTGCCAATTTCTAACCATCAAATTCATTCAATATGGGAATCAAAATCACACATTTGATTAGAATCCCTAACTTCTGAGAGCAGTAGTAATGGAAGAATGCGAGTAACTTTCAACTATCAACACATTTACATCTTTCGTCATATCCACTTGACATCTTTGTCGAAAACCCTTACCTATCTATAATTGAGCTACTTGCATCATCACTTCTCCTTCAAAATTGAGCTACTTGCATCATCACTTCACATATAATAAGAGAAAAAGCTGATCATCCTTCCCTGTATCTCTTTATATCAAGACTTTGTTCCTGTTCACATAAGAAAACCCTTTCATGTTAGCTCAACCCTCAGCTCCATTTTAACTGGTTGATTAAGGAAATGAATGTAATGGTTTCTACAAGTATCTGTCTGATTCAGAAATCTAATATTTGCTTAACTAATAACACTGCTAACAAGCACAACATGGCCCCAAAAATTTGACTGATTAAAGAACGAGCAAACTAGCACAAGGGCAGATCCAGACGATTGGCCTACATCATCACACAACAACTGAAACTCACAGTTGCATTGCTTTTGCTCGATCAAATCATTCTCAGGAAGCTAGACTGGTATTCGAATTAGCGGAGGAAAGAAAGGAGCATATAAACGCGCTAATCATCAACAATGACTTGATATACGGATTTGGCATTCACCCAAATGAATGACAAGCCACCATCAATTCTAAAATTCCCACATCATCCTGCTAATTGGTAATTTGACAAAGATTTCTATGCAAGATGACTAAACATTCTAATTGGACGACGATTAAAGACTGCAATATGGATTCCAAGGAGCCAAAAAGCCATAACCACCATTAATTTAGCAGCAACCCAAATGACAAGGCACCACCATAATGAATGTCCCTGTTCTCCCCATTAATAGGTGACATCACAATAATGGCAGGCAGGAGTTTCAAATCAAGACAACCAGATATTGCAATTTGGATTTCCAAGAGCACAAGAACCCTAACCATTACTAACTCAGCAATACCCCAGCCCCTAAATGAGTAGCCAGCACCACCATCATCAATTTCCAAGTGCTCCCCACGAATCAGCAATTTACCAATAAATAATCCCGAGTAAGGGTTTCAACTCAAGAAGACTAAAACATAGCAATCCGCATTCCAGTCAAGCCACCAGATAAACGCAGGCAAAAACTGAAGGTCGAAAATGGGTATACCGAAACCAGGAAAATGACAGCATATGCAAAGGCACACCTACGTCTGTTTGGAGTACGAAGAAGAGGAAGGGACGCGCTTGTTCCGAAACATCATGTATCCGACCGGCAACACCACTCCGATCATCATTATCGCCGCGCCGATTAAGTACCTCATCGGACTCGGCGGCTCCACCTCCACGATTCTCAGATGCTGCGGATCGAGGAGAAGGGGGAAAAAAGACAATCATGAACCAGGAACTGAGAACTACTACTAGAGCTCCTAGGTTGCGATCGGAGATCTGGATCCGGCATTATAGATCAAAGCAGAGAGAGAGAGAGAGAGAGAAAACTTACAGGCATTTTCCGCCGCTGGCCGCTGCTATCCTTGTAGCTACGGAGATTCAGGAAGAGAGGCGAAACCAGGAAGAGAGATCGATCCTGGTGAAGTGAAGAAAAAGCCAACGAGACGCGACGGTGACGACGACAATCGGAGGGGGAATGGAAGGTATAATATTTGTGATTTGTTAATTGAGTTATGTAGCCGTTTGATGGAGCGTCACGTAACGGAAAACCCAGAACGCTGAACGGGGTTTGTTTTGGGGCATTGCTATTCGTCGCCCTAAAAATCCCTTAATCGTCGCCCTAATTAAGTTAGAATTACTTTAATGCCCTTAGTTCATTTATTCATCGTCCTAATCTAAGAGAGCTGTTAGGCGGAGGAGACTCTTCGCCGCTGTTTCTCCTTTCTCGTCGATAACTTTGTCTCGGCTGATGAAGAAGAATAGTAAATCATCGCCGCTGGCGGATGGCTCAATTTCCGTGAATTGAAACCGAGAAATTAAGCCCTGAAATTATGCCCCGAATTTCAGGTATCTAAATTGGACCTTGCACAACTTCTCCTCCATACTTGGGGGACATAATCTATTAATCTGATTCACTTTTCAAACTAGAGCTTGCCCTCGTCCTGCCTCAAAGTTAAAAGCATAAACTTATGCCCCTGCATCCGATGACTCCTTTACCCGCCGGAATATTATTGTGTAATTTTCCTGTAATTGAATTCATTTTGGAGCATCGCCAAAGTATTAAATATCCTTGATTTTTGGAAAGACCCTTAAACGCGCTATTAAAGGCTATATATTTTTGATGGAATAGGGCAGCCGACTTGCTTCTTCCTCCTCCTTCCCTCCGACGCTCTAGTAGTACCTGCGGCGGCAATAGATTGGGGTTGGGGACGACAGTTCTTTTTCTGAATGAGGGCGGTAGATGTGGGTTGGGGTGATGAAGGGATTGTTTGGTTCGGGTTAGATTGAAATTGGGTTGAGGGTAAATATGTCAATTTGTTGAGTTTTAGGGCGATAAAATTTGAATTTTAGGGCGACCAATAGCAATTCAGTTGTTTTGTTGAGTAGTAAATGATGGGTTAATTATGCAATTGGTCATTTAACTTTGTTTTTCACCAGCTAGCTAACGCTTTTTTTTTTTTACTTTTAAAAGGTGGCAGATTGGATTAATTGATTGGTGGATTAATTGATTGGTGGATTAAGTAAATATAGAATAAATTAGGTGCTAAAATTTTATAATAAAAATTTCTAGGTAAAAAAAATAATTTTCCAATGATAATTTTTGCCTAGAAAATAATTTTTAGGTTTTAAAATGTAAAATATGAAAATTATAGGTACTAAACTATAATTTGTCATTTGGATCCTTGGATTAATTCATCAATCCACCAATCCAATTCCATTTGGATAGAATGGATTGGATTGGATTGGTTGTATATTTTAGTGGATGGATTGAACTTAATTTATTGATTTGGATACTAATTGCCACCTCTACTTACTTTTATTATAGCTTCATAACGATATGTCGATATTTCACATGAGCTAAGACAATTTTTTTTTTGGCAAAGATAATTCGAATTAGAAAAGCAAGGTACAAATTTAAGGGCTTTTTGACGGCTAAAAAACAATTAATGATGATACGATTGTGTTCGGAAAGGCTTCGATCAATGCAGTGGAGAAGCCGGGTTAAAGGCATGAGACGGTATAGCCCGACTTAAATTTGAAATATAAGTAAAATTACACTTAAAATTCGTAACAAATTTAGAAAATACAGCGGCCGGTAAAATCTTAGTCCCCTCCCACAATTATCTTAGCTCAACTTTACTCCCTTCGTTTAGATTTTTGGCTCGCCATCAATGAAGATATTTTTAGTATGAACACCCTCTTAAACTATGGTAAAATCTTGAAGAGGTGATGAATGATCAACAACTAGTTATTTCAGTTTTGAACACCCTCTCAAACAAGGCCGAGTGGCTGTTGATAGTGGAAACCCCTTCTCAACTATTTATAGTAGTCTTCGTAGGAAAATCTTGAAACTTGGAGCTCATTTGGTCACTCAATTAATCTTGTCAAAGACCCTCGGATTCCGTCCTTACCGGGATTCTAACTAAGCAATAACCAATGAGATTTAATGTACGCCTTTGGATGAGTGATGAATGATCAACAAAACTGGAATATGGACCTTCTTCAACAATCTTGCAACAATGAGGAGATCAATATTGCTATAAGGAGTATTCCAATTGTACCTGATATTATTCAAGATCATTGGGTTTGGCACAAGGTTGACCCGCACCCGGTGAAGCTAGCGGGTTAAGGGTTAATACGTCACCCGGTTTAGCCCGAAAATATAGAAAGAGTCATTAGATTTAGGCCTGTTAGCGGTGCGGTTTCGGTTTTAACCGAACCGCAACTGCGGTTAACCGCAGCCGAAGACGCCACTGAAACGTCAACCGCAACCGCAGCTGAAGGGAGGTTCGGTTTGTTTGTGCGGTCAGTCGAGACCGATGGCCGTCGCGATCTCCACCCTGCTTACCGCCGTTTCTTCTTCCTCCACTTCCACCCCTTCCGTACAGAACGCCGTCTCTTCCCTCTACCGAATCACCCTCCTCCTCCCACAAGAAATGCCTCTTCTTATCTGTCACTGATAGTGACCAAACCATTGAGGGGAAACAGAGGACTCACATAGGAAAGGGGGACGCGACGGACGATGGGATTGAGGGTCGACGTCGTGAATCGCAGGACTGGGGGCGACGACGAACGGCAGGACGGACGAAGGCTGGGGCGGAGCGACGCTGACGCGAAGTGACTGACGATGGCGGCGACAACGATTACGACGGGCCGACGGCTGCAGTGGGGACGCGCGGGGTAGGGCGATGACGACGTCTGCAGCGTGGACGCCGCGCCGGAGAGGGGAGGTCAGGGAACAAGGGAATGGGAGGGTAGCGGTGCGGCAGGGTGAGAGACTTTCTCCCGCTGGAATTGGTATCGCAAATTAGGGTTGCGGGAGGATTCGATAGATTGGGACGCCTTGGCAATGACGAGGCGAGGACGACGACAGGCGGCCGGGAGGGCTGGGGTTTGTTGGGGAGGAAATCGGAGGAGGTGGTGGATTGGCGGGCGGAGAAATTTTTTGGGAGGTCGAATTTAGGGTTCCCCTTTCAGTTCTACTCTGTAATCGCGACAAGAGGGAGACCTAGGCGAGGGCACGACGCGGTTTGGCCAGGTGAAGTGGGATTCGCGGTTAGGGCGGTTAACCGCGCGCGGTTTCGGTTATGACCGCCAACCGAATTTTGCCTCCTTCGCCAGGAATTGACCAATCGCAACCGCAAACCGCATTAATATTTCGGTTTTTGGTTAACTATAAAACCAACATTTTCGGTTCGGTTTTCGGTCCAACCGAGTAACCGCTGACCGATTAACAACCCTAATTAGATTATACTTATTCTGATAAATTATATCAAATCTCATCTAACATATGAGTTATAACATATAATATTACACTGAAATAACATGTCGTACTTAGATCCAACATATAGTGAAATTTCACACACAATTATATAATATCAATATTGAAATGTTCAACTTATGATTCCAAAGAATGAGTTAGGCGAAAAGAAAATAAAAAATAGGCGCATTTCGCAAACCAAAGAAAAAATGACACAATTTGACCTCCAACCCGGTACCTTGTAGCGGTCGACCCGGCGGGTGCGTGCAACCCGTTTTTCTCACCGGGCCAGGGTCAGAGTGGGTCGACCCGAGGTCAACCCGCGGGTTGACAACCTTGGTTTGGCACCAAAGATAAATCTAGATTATCATATAACTCAGTATCCAAACTCAAGGGGTCGTTTGATTTTGGTGATAGTTAAATTAATGCATTGTTATCAATGCATGCATAATAATATACATGTATATAAGAAAATTGGTGTATTGTAGTTTCCATCGTTTGATTTTTGTGATAGTTATTCAAATATTGAAATAAGTTATATTACTTTTTGGATGAAATGTCACTTTTGCCTTTATTTTTAATATTAAAAAAACAACACACATAAAAAAAGGCAGGGACATAGTTGGAACAAAACAAATCCCAACAATTTCTACCAAACAATCTCAACAATCTCAACCAAAATTAGAGAAGTAGAGATTTAACTATCACTCATTTTGAGTGATAGTTTGTGTCAAATCAAGCAAACAATGCATGTATTTTTTATGCAAAAAATTCAAAAAAATCATGCATTGTGGATAATGAATGTATTGTAACTATCACAACCAAACGACCCCAAAGATCTGCCCTTGAGTGGAAGGAAGCTCCTCGCCTACCCTAACGAGTCTTGTCTAGCCAGTCTCAAGGCTAACAGGTTGACAAGAGTTAAGACCAATGTAGTAAAAAAAAAAACAAGTTTCTACGTAAAAACGTTTTGGTAATCTGGAAGCGTAAAATCGTAAATTTTTAAGCGAGTTTTTAACTACATAAGTTATAAAAACCGAGATTTTGCTAGAAGCATTTTAGTGACCTAGAAGCGTAAAATCGTAAATTTCTAAACTTTAAACCACGATTTTGACTAGGTCAAGACAACACCATCAAAATTGATACTCAACGATCCAACCCGAAAGTGGAGACAATGTTCGACCAAGAAGTAGCCAAAGATAACCCCATTGAACCGGTCTAAACCATGATTACTTGTTATTGAACGCAATTCCTGCCATGCCCCACCTACTTATGTTTTTGTTTTGACGAATGAATTGCAATCGGCCACCACTTATTCCTTCTCGGCACAAGAAACAGTTAAATACAAAGAGAGAACCCCAATTGTGACAATTTAATCGTCTTACTCTACTCAATATATTAACACAGTTATAATCTATTATTGGGATGTAGCAATTAATTAAGTTTATTTAATTTTTTATTGTTATTGGGTTTAACTAATATAGACACAGAGCCAGAGGGCCAAAGGACTCTACTCTTCTAATGATCATATTCAGTCAGTGCACTATAAATGCAACATAGCACATATATATAGCATTAATCAACATTCAGCAAGAGTTTGTAACAACATTATTATCATGATCTTCACGACGAGGAAGCTGGTAATTACCACCACAAATTTACAAGCCGCAGTGGGTTTGGCAGCCATAATGATAGCAATTATGGCGCATCCTTCAACTCAGATGATCACGATTGATGTGAAAAACGAGCTGTGCAGTCTCAATGTGATAGCGCATTGTCAATCCAAAGACGACGATCTTCGTGCTCAGGTCCTCGACACCGGCTCTGTTCTCAGTTGGAATTTCACGGCACGATATGGAGTTGGTGCAACTGTTTTTTGGTGCAACCTCGCGGTTCGAGATAAGCGTCTTTCTTTCACAGCATTTAACGCGGACAATGATAAGAATGATATGTATTGGGTTGTGAGGAAGGAGGGAGTTTATACAAGAATATACGGTCCTGCAGCAAAATTCCAATTTGGATGGAGGAATGGAGCCTTGTCGGTCTCTGAATCGTATTGTTATGCCGGGCCTTGATTATTTTCATGCCTTTTTAATTAGGGAAGAAATTAAAGGCAGCGCCTCCAGTAGTTTTCATTTTTTTGTTTTGTTTGATCTCATGTGTTGTAGCTGTTTTGGTCCCTCTTCTTTGAGTACTGCTAGCCTAGTTAATTGTGATAGTAAATGATATTTTATAATTGGACATTTCTCGACAATTTGAATTATTGTGACAAATTGATTCTTAATATGGTATTATAAATTTTTATAACCGATCGAAAAATATTTTATTCGAATCCGATAATCTTCATTGTTCTGTTAAGCACGTGATTCTTGACAAATTGGAGCGATTGGAGCCTTTTTATTTAGCAATATATATATATATATTTATTTAAAAGCTCAAGTAACCGGAAAGGATTGTTACTATTCCTTACGATTTTTTTTCTCCCACTTCACTATTCATTGGAGCAAGTATCTCCTACAGCCGGTTTCATTATTAACAGTCGGTCTCATTATTAATTGCTCATAGCCCACCCTAGATAACGTATGGAGCTGGGCCTTAGTTTTGCTTTTTCTTTCATTTGATTTTGTTTTTATGTGAATACGTTTACAAGTTTGAAATTTAGTTGGCCCGGTTGAGTAAGTGGGTTGAGAGTTAATTGTTCGCTCATTTTAGATTAGTTTAACTCGGATTTGTGAAAACGGTTATTATAGTATTCATACACTTATATATTATGTGAATACATTTACAAGTTTGAAATTTAGTTGGACCAGTCGAGCAAGTGGGTTGACGGTTAATTATCTGCTCACTTTAGCTTGATTTAACTCGTATTTATGAAAAAATTTATTATAGTATTCATACATTAATATATTGATATCAAATATCTTCTGACATATATGTAATATAACATTACACGAAAATAACAGTTCGTATTTGGATCTAACATATAGTGAAAATTCAAACACATTCACATAACATCAATATTCAAATATACAATTTAGAATTTTAAATGTAGGGTTAGGCGAAGGGAAAAATCGAAAATGAGTCGTAATTCGCAAACCAAAGGGAAAAAAACGACACCATGTAATCTATTATTTGCCTAATGTCATCAATTTGCATTATACAAAGGTTCCACAATGTTAGTTAACTTTGACATAACATTTTAATCGTATGTTACTTTCTAAAATTTTATTTTTTTTATTAGACCATATAATTAAAAGCACAAGAGCTTTTTACTATTCATTAAGGAAAAATAGACTATTTTCTCTTTTCGTGGTAATAACCAATTTTACGCTACAGTACAACCACTTCTACGATAAGAACTTTAATTTCTCATAAATAATAGGAACCATATTAAATTATTTCTTTAATATTAGCTAAAATTTTATTGTTAATTAAAATATTTAACATGTCATCAATTCACAATATGAAAAGGTTGTTAACTTTGGCATAACAGTTTAACCATATGTTATTTTCTAAATTTGATTTTATTATTAGACCACACTTTATGAAAAAATTATGTAACAACATTCTATGAAAATTGCATAAACAACGTTCTATAACAGTTACATAAATTATAAATTCATTCGTAAAAATTAAAGACATTACATAAACTAAAATTTATAGCGGGATAGCTGTTATGTAAGCAAGATATTAATGAGCATTCCTTAATGATTAAAACACTATGTAAATATTATGAATATATAATTATTTTTTATGTATCAATCAAACAAAAATATCATATAAATCTTCCATAATGATTATACACTACATAATCCTTATGTAGGGATAATTATTCATTATGTATCAGTTAAATAAACAGATGACGTATGTTATTCGTAATGTTTACTACACTACGTGAAACTTATGTAGGTATCCAATCCAAATAATTTTGTGAATTATTCATTTTCAACTAAATTATTAATTTCTTAACGCGACGGAACGCGGAACAGAAAACTAGTAATTAGTCAATAACAATGACTACATTGAATTTGAATAAGTTGAAATTCAACTCCGCTACACTTTCAGTGTCACTCATCTTTGATATCATTGACTTAATCAATGCAACACCCTCGAACTTTCTGGGAGCATAAGGACACATCACCCCTGGCCAACTTCCTCCCCTATTTCCTACTCTTTCACTTAGTTGCAAAATAAGATAGAAAAGTTTGCACAAAATTTCCACAGAATTGGTCTATAAAAAATCGAAAGTTGACTCAAAACAGAGCTCTGCGCTCTGCCACTGAAACACAACAAAGCAACTACTGCCCACCTAACATACTGCTCTGCTTCTACTCCCAATTTTGCAACCATATCCAATCATGGACCCAACATCAAGAATCACCCTCCGCCCCTTCAAGCTCACCGACGTCGACGACTTCCTCAAATACGCCGGCGACGAAACAGCAACCCGACACATGAGATGGAACCCCATAACTTCCAGAGAAGAAGCGTTGACCCACCTGGAAACCGTGGCCATCCCCCACCCATGGCGCCGATCCATCGGCCTCCTCGACGACGACGAAGATCGGTCCATCGGCTACATCTCCATTTTCCCCGGTTCCGGCGACGACCGCAGCCGCGCAAACGTCGGGTACATCCTGGCGGCAGAGTACTGGGGGCAGGGGATCGTCACGGCCGCCCTCAGAATCGCCGTGTCCACCGTCTTCGCCGACCTCCCGGAAGTCGTGAGGCTGCAGGCGCTGGTGGAGGTCGAGCACAGGGCGTCTCAGAGGGTGCTGGAAAAGGCAGGGTTCTTGAGAGAAGGGCTGCTCAGGAAATATGGTTACTGTAAAGGTGAGATCAGGGATCTTTTCATCTACAGCTTACTGTCCACGGATCAACGGCGGATCTAGTGGCCACGGCCTAGCCCTCTCCATCTTTTTTTAAATGCGGCCCAGTGCTCTAATCTGTTCTATATCTACCGCTGCCATGGATGATCCCGATTTTCTCTCGAATGATTATTAGAAGGTTGGGAAGCGAAAGAGATCGATGGTGGTTAAAATGGTTGTGCTGCTGGTTTTCAGTCCAAGATTTCAAGTTCGAATTCCAGGGAAGTTTACTAGTATATCTTGAAGAAGTGTATCAATAAAATTTCGATTCATCTATCATCCTCCTTGCTTGCTCTACATTGAATGTTGGCCACTTTTATTTGTACCAATTCAGCTGTTGGGAATTGGGATGAACCTGAGAATAAGTTTCAACCCACCTGACAAACGTATGCTCTCAACGACCAACGCTGTGAATCTATCCACCTTCGCCGGATCTCAAGTACCCTTCTGATCGTCGGCGATGGAAAGCTTCCCGACAATCGAATCTCCCAATTCGAATAACTTGAAATAGAAACTAGCCAGTACAGTTAGGACTGAAATTGGGCCATATCTGCGTATGATATGTAAGAATTCTGTCTGACCCGTCTCTGTAGAGTCAATTAGAAAACTAAATCGTCTCGACTCTAGTTTTTTTTCTTGATTTTTTGGGACCTTTTATGGTCAGGCCAAGTCAGTGAATTGATTCAAATCAATCTAACATACTAATTTTTGAAAATTACATTTTGGTACCCAAGCTTTTTTTATCAATTTAGTAACCAAACTTAATTTCTTTTACAAACAAGTCCGGAAATTTTTGTGGAAATTATGTTTTAGCACCTTTATATTTTTTATTTTGCATTATAGAACCTAAGCTTTTAAAACTTTACAAATAGATCCAATGTGTTGGTATGAGTTATTTAATTCCATATAACTAGTCGTTGCTATAGGTTAAAGGACCAAAAAGTGACACCACCCTAAGTTGACCCAACCCTACCTAATTCTTACAAGCCAAAAGATGACCTGACCCTAAACGGGCCCTGTAGAGTGTAGACAACCAAACCTAGTATGACTATTAGATTCCTAGGTATAGCTATATGCATTATGATAATAAGTTTATACTCATTCCAAACACCAAGATAAGAGATGTTGGACTAAAAAGTTAATAGAACCAGTCACTTATAGTTTGCAAAACATATTCTTGTTTTATGATAATTCTGAAAAATCATTATTAATTTAAGAATTATTATCTCTTTTGCATATTCAATACTTCAATTCGATTTGCAAATCAAACAATGATATATTAGTTGCCGTTAAGGTTATCCTTCATGTATAAAGTTAGACAAGATTCTGAAATGCTTATTAAGCCCCAATTAAAATAATCCAAATTTGAAAATAAAAAAAGATGACCAAGAAATCTCATTACCTTGTTATTGCAAGCAATTCCTGCAATGCCTACCTACTCGTCATGTTTTTGTTTTGACGAATCAATCGCAATTGGCCTCCAATTATTCCTGGTCTCGGCATATAAGGAACACTTAATACAGAGTTAGGAGCACTATTAATTGTGACAATTTAATCGTCTTACTCTACTAATTTTTTTTTAGGAATACTCAACATTTTTTTTTTTTTTTTTTTTTTGCATTGGAGGAGGCTAACGCCAAGAAAGGAGAAGGGAACTTGTATTCTGTTTTCTCTATTACTGGGCTCAGTTAAGAGAGACATGCAGAGAAAGAAGCTGAGTTCCAAAGGACTCTTCCACTCATCATTCACTGCACTATATAATTTTTTTTTTTTTTGCATTCTAGGAGGTAAAAGCCAAGAAGAGAGAAGAGTTACAGGGGTGTAGGGGAATGGGAACACTGCACTATATAATTAATGCTAACGTAGCACACACCAATGAATATTCAGCTCACTTTTGCACCAAACATTACTACAATTATCCTAATTCTAAAAGAGAAAGTGTTGACGCCTAAAATTAATTTGGCCTAAATTAAATGTCGCATTAAAAAACAGTGTCGTTTGGAGTTGAGCGGCGTCGTGGAGAGTTAAAACGGTACCGCGAAACAGAAAAACGGTACCGCAAGGAAGCTCACCGGTACCGCGACAGTGGAAACGACACTGTTTACCAGAAAACAGGATGGGGCCGCGCACGTAGTATTGGTGTTGGAAAAGGAGTTATTATTATTATTATTATTATTATTATTATTATTATTATTATTATTATTATTATTATTCCTTGTGGGAAGGGGAGAAGCGGTACCACATGGAGACAAGCGGCACCGCAGAGAGTTAAAACGGTGCCGCAAGGAGGCTCAGCGGAACCGCGGCACTGGAAACGACATCGTTTACCGGGAAGAAAGATGTGGGCCGCGCGTTTGGTATTGGTGTTGGGAAAGGAGTTTGGATTATTATTATTAATTATTATCTTGATTCCTTGTCGGAAGGGGAAAATCGGTACCGCATGGAGACAAGCGGTATCGCGGATAGTTAAAACGGTACCGCGGATTTGAAAACGATGCCGCGAGAGTCTGATAAGCGGTACCCGATTAATTAAAAACCATATCGGGTAAGTGACCAAAATTCGCCCAGCCCAATGCGAATCCATGGATTAATATTTTTTGGCTATGTCAGCGGTGTCGTTTAATTAAAAACGGTACCGCGAGTAAGCCCAACGGTACCGCTGTACTAGCAAACGACAATGTTTAAAATAATAAAAAACAATGTCGCGAAAGGAAAAACAGACGGAGCCGTTTTGGTGCTAATGGTGTCGTTGGCCAACACACGAGTGGGCTAATGATGGCCGGATTAATTAATTAATATTTTAATGACTATTTAGGACGGTGTCGTTTAGTTGAAAACGATGTCGCAATAGGAAAGAAACGACACCGCGGATTATAAAACAATGCCGCGAGTAGGCCAAAGAACGTGAAATTTTTTTCCTTTCCGCAGGAACCGAATTGGTTGAGGAAAAGGAAAGCCCAGCGACCAAGCGCTCCCGCCCACAAAAGCGGAGACGAAATCGGACTGGATGAGGACTATCCTACCCGGAAAAGAAAGAAGAAGTAGACATCTCAATCTTTCTTCTAACTATGTCGCAATAGTTAAAATGACAGTGTTAAATTTAAAACAGTGTCGCGAAGCTCAAAAGTTCAACAACATCGCGGGACAAGGAAACGATGTTGTTTAACTAAGAACGACGCCGAGGGGTGAAAGTTCGACGGCGAGTTAACAATGAGGGCTGGTTTAATTCATTAGTATTTTATGATTATTATAGACGGTGTCGTTTAATGAAAAGCGATGTCGCGGAAAAGTAAAACGACACCGCGGTAGTGGCAAGAGTTCGGCCAAAGGCAGCCCGCCAAGCCCAACGACGGCGCAAGAGTATAGAACGACGTTGTTTGATGGACTAACAATGTCGTTGGTTAAACCGGGTTGGGGCAGTTGAGTTGGATTATAAAACGGCATCGGTTGGTGAAAGGCGATGTCGTGGTATTGGTGAAACGTCATCGTTACATGGACAAGGTTGTAAGTCGTTTCGCCAAGTTTCTGCAAAGCAAGAGCGGTTTCGAGGGCAAGTGATTATCACGCAACAAGGAGGAAGTTACTTGCACGGTTGACAGGAATGAAGACGTGGGAGACAAAGGCGCCAAGGCAGTTACTACGACGGGGAGAAGCGCGAAGTATAAAGATTGGGAAGAGAGAGAAGCTAGGGACGAAAAAATCAAATCACAACTGCACCGTCGCAGAATTTATCTTTTTTCTCTCTAGTTGGTAGAACTGCTCTATCAAAGACCCCCTTTGCAGAGTCGTAGATCGTAGCGTGTAGTCGTAGTCGCGGAGCTCTCCAGAGGAACCTCCATAGGAGTAGAGGTAACGTAACTTAGAACACTCCCAGTTTGGTTTCTCGTTTTGTCGTTGAACACCCTCGTTCGAACGTAGTTTGGAGAGGTGGTGAACCGAGTAACGGTTGTTTGATTAGAAGTCAAGGGTGCATTGATCAAATCAACATTGCCGACGCCGGCGGTTGATATTTGACAGTCATCTTGGTTTCTGTTTAATCGATCAAATCAACGGCGCCGACATTCGGCGGCGGATATTTGTCGATTGTGATTGACTTGGTGTTTTTGTCTCCTTGAAAGCAGAGCGCATTGAACGCGCGAGTTTCGCCAACGAAACAAATTGGCACACCTGGTGGGACCCGTGTGTTCGAATGGCTCCGCGACGAAGGAATCATGAAGGGGATGTTCCGCCCGGATTCGTGGAGGAACAAGTGGCCAACATTGAAGGAGGCCAAGGAGTAGGTGCTGAAGACATCAGCAGTTCTGAGAATCCGCCGTCCACAGCTGGGCCGACCGAGGATTTGTCAATCCGCCATTTCATGGAGGAGAACCGTCGCATGTTTGCTAGCCTCAACAATGAGTTCGCAGGCTTCAAAGGCGAGTTTGCAAGCTTCAAGGGCGAGGTTAAATCAACGTTTTGACGCTTTAACTGCACGACATGATTCTCTTGAGTCTCGTGTTGATAGGCGTTTAGGCCAACTCTTTGAAGTTGTGACTAAAAACAGACATGATTTTGATGTTTTTGTGGATAAAAATCTACGTGATATGAATGAAATCAGAGAGCTTTTGGGTAGACCAGTAATGCAACCTAAGGATTTGCCGTTAAACGGTGAAAATAATCTAAACAGTGAAACTAGTTTTCCAAACAACGGGGCTCGAAACAGTTCGCCAAGACAAGGAGTTCTGCCGATACCGGTAGTGAACCCACCAACTCCGCGGGTTAATATTGGCGAGACTAGCACAGCCGCTAACACTCGGGTTGAACCGCCGCCATTTCACGGTGGGGGTCCACAAAATATCTCGGAGGCCAGACCCTATGTGGCCCCGATGAGCGGTGGTGTTGGTGGAGGAATGATCAACAATGATCATGTTCCCCCACGCGGCTACCCGCAAAACGTCCCTCCTCCTCCAAACGGGCTTGGCATGGATCCTGGTCGATTCATACCATAAGGGGGGGGGGGCAACTTGGGGGGCAAGACGTTAACGCGATTCGAGATCAGGTAGCACAGATGCTGGCAGATAAGTTTGGTTTAGGGATTAGACCAGCGATGCCGCCGGTATACCGAAAACCATATCCGGATTGGGTTGATAGATACTACCCCTTTCCACGTGGTTTTCGCGTACCTGATTTCATCACCTTCAGCGGGACTGGGGATCAGTCCACCGTCGAGCACGTTGGACGATTCACGGTTCAGTGTGGTGATGTGAGTGATTTCTTGAAGTTACGTTTGTTTGGCAACTCGTTGACCGGTCCCGCCTTCGCGTGGTACGTTAACTTGCCATCGAACTCGGTTCAAACTTGGCAGCAAATGGAACAAATGTTCCATGCCCAGTTCTACCGTTCTGAGCCAGAAGTAATAATGGCAGACTTGGCACGAATGCGCCAACAGCCAGGAGAAATGGTGGAACACTTTTTAACAAACTTTAAGAATGCAAGAAATCGTTGTTTTGTGAACTTGACAGAACGCGAGTTCGTTAAACTTGCCCAGGGTGGATTGAATTTTGAACTGCGTAAAAAGTTTCAAGATAGGGAGTTTTCTGATCTATTTCAATTGATGTCCTGCGCTGTTAGATACGAGTCTCTTCTCCATGAAGAAGAACATAAGAGGAGTGGTTCTCGTGGGCAATATTTCCCTAATTTTGAAAACTATGGTGTGAATAACGTCGGCAGTGATGTTGACGAGGTTGGAGTTGATTTGGCCGAGATTGTGCAGGGGAAGCCATATGTGTGTGCTTCTCTGGCCAAGCCCGATGGGGAACCACAAGGTGGAAAGCCCAATCGTGCTCCAATTCAAACTAGGAAATATTCCTTTGATGTTTCAAAATTAGAGTTGATTTTCGACCAGCTTTACAAAGATGGTCAAATTAAGTTAACTGGGGGGCATACTATCCCGCTAGCTGAAAAGTTAAAAGGGAAACGATACTGTAAATGGCACAACAGTACATCTCATTCAACTAACATGTGTGTTGTGTTTCGCAACGTTGTGCAGGATGCAGTTGAGAAGGGTCGGTTCAAGTTCCCAGAGCCGAGGAAGGAGGCCATGATTGTTGACACAGACCCTTTTCCAAACGTGGTCGGTGTCAACATGGTCAATCCCGATTTCTCTAAGATCAACCTGCCGCGCTTCAACCTGGTGGTAGATACAACGCCACCGCCGAGTGGTAGTTCTGATGTGGCCCAGGGAGCTTCATCCTCCCAAGTGAAGGAGGGGCCACGCTTGGACCCAGCTGAGGAAGAGAAGTTGTGTGCCCAGTGTCGTGGAAAGCTAAACATTGGGGGAGCAGGACCGAGCCAGACGGTCCACCAGAGATTGGGACCATGATAGTTCAAACCGAGGTACCCCTCATATGAACGCAATGTCGAAGGAGTACGTGCATCTGCATGGGGACGAGGGCAACGTAGACAGTGGGTTGCTCAAAGTGCCCCACCTTTCAAAAGTCTGCCTTTTGGACTTGCCCGACCGGTGAGAGGTTCCCCACCTGTCAGGAGAAATTTCAGAATGCCAAATGTGCCACAGGGTGGTTGGCACACCTACGATGTCCGTCGTCAGCAGCCGATCACCGTTGACGAGATGACAAGGACACAGTATCGAAGGTACCTCCGCAAGAATGCTCAAGGAAGGAGGATTGCAAACTTGCAAGCAAATGTGAACGTGGATAACTCTACCACGGGTCTGAGAGTGACTGTGGCCGGTGCTGGAAAAGTTGTAGAGGACAAGCGGGATGGAACGAGCAGGGAGTCCCGGGAGAGGCTGAGTACGATGCTGAAGTGAATGACTCCTTTATCGAAGAGGAGATGCTGGAATTGGAGGAGCCAAAGTCGAAATTTGATCGAAAGAACAAGGATGACGATGATGACAACCAAGGTGCTCCCATGACGATCCAGTTTGGAAGCCTACCACCAGTGGTGGTGAACAACTACATCTTGCCATTGATCTTCCACATTGATTTGGAAAATCAGGGAGAGGATGGCGAGGTCATGATGGAAGTTGAAGAACTGGACGAAGCTGCTTAGGAGGTCAACGTTGCTAAACTGGTGAGCGGTTTCGCTCAACTGACTTTAGAGGAGGAGAATGAGGAGCCCGCAGCGGTAGAGCTGGTTGGCGAGTCTGCGGATCTGCCAATCGAGGCTGAGCCGTGGAGTGCAATGATGGCTCGCACGAATGGTCGAATTGACTTGGCAGTAGAATCAGCCAAACAGAACAAGAATTCGCAGTGGATCATGAAAGAACTGTACGAAGCTGGCCACAAAGCTGTTGGGCTACTGGGTGAAGATGGGGGAAGATATCCTTTTTACGTGTTATACCAAGGCCCGAAAGAGTCAACAAGTGTGCCAGTGGAGAACGTCACATGGGGGTCAGACTTCGACGAGCTGGAGAAATCTATCCGAGCTGCAGAAGTGAAAGGGAAAGCTGTGGACGAAGGAACCACGGGTGAGGAATCAAACAGGGTCATTGTTTTCAATGAGCCCGAGCCGAAGATGATGCGTCATTTGAGACCTCTCTACATCAAGGCCACACTTGATGACGTACTAATGGTGAGGGTCTTGGTTGACAATGGTGTCGCAGTAAATGTGATGCCAACAAGGATGCTGAAGAAGTTGGGCAAGAGCACTAATGACTTGATCCCAACGGAAGTGTTTGTGACACGTTTCAATGGCGGGTCCACTTCTGCCAGGGGAATCCTCCCAGTTGTTATGGGAGTTGGATCACAGAAGAGGATGAGTGCTTTCTTCGTGGTGGATGGAATGATAAGCTACAATGAACTACTTGGCTGGGATTGGATCCACGCCAACAAGTGTGTTCCTTCATCGCTGCATCAGTGTTTGATGTTCTGGAATGAAGACGGTGTCGTTGAGGTGGTACAGGCTGACACAAAGCCGTTTTCCGTTGGTGCAAACGTGGCTGAAGCTTATATGTACCATGGAGATTTTGGACCAATTGAAATCAGGAGTGGGGATGGAGGAACGTCCAACGTCATAGTTTCAAGCGCGATAGTGTTGAGTAAGGCTTGCTTGAACCACTTGCCTGAAATTGTGAGACCATCAATGTGTGCGTTAGGTGGTCCACCAAAATCAGAGTAAGCCACCTCAAGAGAGGGTGGAGAAGGCCGAAATCACGGCCTTGATAGAGGGGTTGTCGATCAACGGCGAGGATGCGAGTAACAAGTTGGGAGAGAAAGCAGCGGCGTTGTCTGCGACATTGTGGAAGAAATCAACTTTGGCGGGAAGGATGACCCACATTCAACGTTCATATTGCCAGCTTGCATGACTCTGACAGGTACGAGTTAACTCTGATTCTGAATGGCTTCAAAGATTGTTTTACGTGTGAATGTTAGGAAATATAGCATGGATATGTTGCAATCATGTTGTATAGCCAGTTTGTCGCTTTTTCTTTTAGATTCATGCATGACTGAATTACGTAGATGCCATCGGCGTTGCATTAACCTAGTCAAGGCTGTTGGTGTATGGTTGTGTTGGCTAAATGGTTTGTTTTCTTTCAGCCAGAGTTGTTAAATTTGGTCCGCCGATTACTGTATTGTCGAGATGGTCACAATATCGACCAAGATTAAACATGGCTTTACTTTTAATTTTCTTTGATAATGGTTGATTAGGAAATAATGACCAAACATGGCCATTTTTTGCTAAGCCACGTAGCAGTGGTGCCGCTTTATTTTTCTTTTCATATCAACAACATTGTTGGGGGGCACGGTGCCGCGGAAGCAAAAGGACTATTATATTATACCATAAAAAAAAGAGGTCGGCCAAAACATCGCTGATGAGGAATTGAAAAAGAAGAAGAAAAAAAAACAGAATTGTTTGGACGATGAACAGTGTTGCTGGAGGTCCTAAGCGTGGCCGCAACGATATAAAATATTTTAATTAAAGCCAAAATTGTTTGGTTTAATAAGAGTGAAAAAAATAAAATAAAAAGTCTCTCAGCGCTGTGGCCAAGCAATGTCGCGGCTGTTGTTGGAGTCTAACAGCTCTATCGACAAAAGGAGTAGTGTGCGGCCAAGCAGCTCTAATATTTAAAAAAAAAGTAAAAAACATGTGTGGCTGAGGCGGCTATGCAGGCCTGCTAAAGAGGAAAAATAGGCCAAAAGATTTCCGTCAATTTTTGGTGGAATGGTGGTTTAAATTAAAATTATTTTAGGTGTTGTGGATTTTGTCAACAATTTGGTTCATAATTCTTATAAACCAAATTGTGGGGGGCATTTGTTGACACCTAAAATTAATTTGGCCTAAATTAAATGCCGTATTAATTCGTCTCGGCATTTAATTCGATACCGCGGGTAAAAAATGGTGTCGTTTGGAGTTGAGCGGCGTCGTGGAGAGTTAAAACGGTACCGCGAAACAGAAAAACGGTACCGCAAGGAAGCTCACCGGTACCGCAAGGAAGCTCACTGGTACCACGACAGTGAAAACGACATTGTTTACCAGAAAACAGGATGGGGCCGCGCGCGTAGTATTGGTGTTGGAAAATGAGTTATTATTATTATTATTCTTATTCTTATTATTATTATTCTTTGTGGGAAGGGGAGAAGCGGTACCGCATGGAGACAAGCGGCACCGCAAAGAGTTAAAACGGTGCAGCAAGGAGGCTCAGCGGAACCGCGGCACTGGAAACGACACCGTTTACCGGGAAGAAAGATGTGGGCCGCGCGTTTGGTATTGGTGTTGGGAAAGGAGTTTGGATTATTATTATTAATTATTATCTGTATTCCTTGTCGGAAGGGAAAAATTGGTACCGCATGGAGACAAGCGGTATTGCGGAGAGTTAAAACGGTACCGCGGATTTAAAAACGATGCCGCGAGAGCCTGTTAAGTGGTACCGATTAATTAAAAACCATATCGGGTAAGTGACCAAAATTCGCCCAGCCCAATGTGAATCCATGGATTAATATTTTTTGGCTATGTAAGCGGTGTCGTTTAATTAAAAACGGTAGCGCGAGTAAGCCCAACGGTACCGCTGTACTAGCAAACGACAGTGTTTAAAATAATAAAAAAACAATGTCGCGAAAGAAAAAACAAACGGAGCCGTTTTGGCGCTAATGGTGTCGTTGGCCAACACACGAGTGGGCTAATGATGGCCGGATTAATTAATTAATATTTTAATGACTATTTAGGACGGTGTCGTTTAGTTGAAAACGATGCCACAATAGGAAAGAAACGACACCGCTGATTATAAAACAATACCGCGAGTAGGCCAAACGATGTCGCAATAGTTAAAACGACAGTGTTAAATTTAAAACAGTGTCGCGAAGCTCAAAAGTTCAACAACATCGCGGGACAAGGAAACGATGTTGTTTAACTAAGAACGACGCCGAGGGGTGAAAGTTAGACGGCGAGTTAACAATGAGGGCTGGTTTAATTAATTAGTATTTTATGATTATTTTAGACGGTGTCGTTTAATGAAAAGCGATGTCGCGGAAAAGTAAAACGACACCGCGTTAGTAGTAAGAGTTCGGCCAAAGGCAGCCCAACGACGGCGCAAGAGTATAGAACGACGTTGTTTGATGGACTAACAATGTCGTTGGTTAAACCGGGTTGGGGCAGTTGAGTTGGATTATAAAACGGCATCGGTTGGTGAAAGGCGATGTCGTGGTATTGGTGAAACGTCATCGTTACATGGACAAGGTTGTAAGTCGTTTCGCCAAGTTTCTACAAAGCAAGAGCGGTTTCGAGGGCACGTGATTATCACGCAACAAGGAGGAAGTTACCTGCACGGTTGACAGGAATGAAGACGTGGGAGACAAAGGCGCCAATGCAGTTACTACGACGGGGAGAAGCGCGAAGTATAAAGATTGGGAAGAGAGAGAAGCTAGGGACGGCAAATTCAAATCACAACTGCTCCGTCGCAGAATTTATCTTTTTTCTCTCTAGTTGGTAGAACTGCTCTGTCAAAGACCCCCTTTGCAGAGTCGTAGATCGTAGCTTGTAGTCGTAGTCGCGGAGCTCTCCAGAGGAACCTCCATAGGAGTAGAGGTAACGTAACTTAGAACACTCCCGGTTTGGTTTCTCGTTTCTCGTTGAACACCCTCGTTCGAACGTAGTTTGGAGAGGTGGTGAACCGAGTAACGGTTGTTTGATTAGAAGTCAAGGGTGCATTGATCAAATCAACATCGCCGATGCGGCGGTGGATATTTGACAGTCATCATGGTTTCTGTTTAATCGATCAAATCAACGGCGCCGACATTCGGCGGCGGATATTTGACGATTGTGATTGACTTGGTGTTTTTGTCTTCTTGAAAACAGAGCGCATTGAACGCACGAGTTTCGCCAACGAAACAGAAAGGGAGGTCGATCACCAAGATGAGGAAGCTAGTAATTATACCCAGAAAATTTCAAGCCGTGGTGGTTTTCGCAACCATAACAATAAGAGTAATTATGCTTTCGTTGATTTGACATTATTGAAAGAGGCAAAATTGATATTGAGTAATGCAACCCGACTGAAATGACTCGTAACCGGAGACTACGTATCCAACCTTAAATGGGCAAAGACAGATGAGCTTATCGAACCGGTCTAAACCATGGTCCTTGTTATTGGAAGCAATTCCTGCCAACCATGGTTGTCACACCGGCCGGCGTGTCACCGATTGAACTTGGTTCAATCTGTATCGGTCATAAAACCGGTATGACACCATCGGTATGACCGGCATGATCGATATACAAATCTCTAAGTAAAATTATCTTATATTAGTGAATTTATTTGATAAAAAGTAATTTATTATTTATTTTATGTGTTAAAAAGTTAAATGTTGATGTTATTTGTTGGATTCAAGTACAAATATTTAGGTATTGACGTTAAATATCGTGCTTAAATATGAGTATTTGTAAATTATTTGTTATATTAACCGGCATGAACCGACACAAACCAGTATGTACCACCGATCAAACCATTCTACTTGCTAAGCCGACACACTGACACAAACCGGTTTGACAGCCTTGCCGCCAACTTAATACTTATGCTTTTGTTTTGACGATCAATCAATTGCGATTGGCCTCCACTTATTCCCGGTCCATACATAAGAAACACTCAATGCAAAGTTAACGAAACAATAATTGTGACAATTTAATCGTCTTGCTCCACTCTAAACATTATAATAAATTAATTAATTATAATCTATGTCTGTTTGTATGCAGCAATTAATTATTTTCATATACTTGTTTATTATTCTGTTCGGTTAATAGAGACATGCAGCTGAGACAGTGCCAGAGCTCCAAAATCCAAAGGACTCTTTCACCTGATCATCCAGTGCCCCGCTTACTACAAATACATCACAAATTTGAACAACATTGTTATCCTAACAAAAAGAGAAAGGGAGATCATCGAGATGTGGAAGTTCGTCAGAAATTTGCAAGCCGCGGTGGTTTTGGCAACCATAACAATGGTTGTTATGGCACATCCCTCAACTCAGCAATACAGAACGAAGCTTGATGTGAAAAATGAGCTATGCGGTCTCAAACTGATAGTGCATTGTGCATCCAAAGACGACGATCTTCGCGCCCACGTGCTCGACACGGGCTATGCTTTCAGCTGGGAGTTCGAATCGGTGAATTTCATACGTGCAACTGTTTTTTGGTGCAACCTCGCAGTCCGGAACAACCGCCTTTCTTTCACCGCGTATAACGCGGCAATTTATAACAGATATAATCATTGGGTTGTAAACGAGAAGGGAGTTTTTACTGAAGGACATTATCTGATTTCTGAATGGAGGTATGGAGCGTTGTCTGTCGATAAATCATTTTGTAACGTTGGGCCTTGATTTTCATTTTGTTATATTTTCTTGCGTGCTAAGATGTACAACTTAATTGGCGATCAGGCCAGCTAAATGAAATGAAATTAATTGGTAATGCTTCAATCATCTAGAGATTATTTATTAATTAAATTTCATGATCATGCTGGCTGATTTTCACAGGTAGGGCATGCACTGACTGATATATCACTGCTTGAACAGCTGGTAAGTTACTGATGAGAGCAGAAAGATCAGTTAAAGTTGGTGCAATTCTCATGATGTGCATCCTCTCAAATTAAGGGTTTGCAAAGACTTTACATTTGCGAGGCCTTCAATCTCCCGGAAACTTGGCATATCCGCATGATTTCTAAAATTTCCAACTTCCACAAATTTGAAAGTAATTAACGGCAGTCTCTCTAATGATGGCTGCAATGCAAATTACGCAATCTCGGTTCACGTATCTCGATCTTCCAAACACTCAAGCCCTTGAATCTTCGGGGGCATGGGACAGCTTTCGATGATTAATAATGCGATCAAATTCTCGTATTGCTACTATTGCACCACATTTTGGAGGCTCTGAAGAGCCGCTGAGACTTCAACTTGGATATCTCATAACTTCCACCACCGTAACACTTCATTGTTATAGTTACTATTGTTGTCCACTTATCGTGGTCGATACCTGTTGCTGCTGGGATTTCAAGCCCATATTCACAGCGCTCAACAACTAATTTTCTCTACTCAACTGTTTTGGTTGCCATCCTTGTATTTGTCCACATACTAATGGTCGTCATGGTGTGGCTTATTCACTACAAGAAAAAACGCTCTTTACAACCACAAAATTGATCCCTACTAAAGGTCCAAACTTTCTTTTCCTTCCTGGTTGTTAGTAGTATTGAATTGACATTTAGTAGTAATAGAATTACTTCTTGACATATGATGTTGCAATGTATTTTATAAATAGGAGGGTATTTATTTTGATATATAAAATGGCATGGTTACAAAAGTCACTATGAAGTTCCTTTTGGATAAATTGAATGGAGAATACAGGGTTCTGAAAGCAGAATTAAAAGATACAGGATGTACTAGCAATTGTTCAACTTTGGTCAAACTTGTTTTCCCGGCAGGTTATTCGGGATCGGTGTCGGACAATTTTGTGCAATTGCGACTTGGCACTACAATAAAAAAGGGTTTTAGGAACCAAATCAATTTGTCTTTAAAGCAGTATTGGTTACTATACCTATTGGTGACTAAAATAATTTAATAGCAGGATTGGTCGCTATATGACTCTATCCGCATTACTAATTCCCAGCGCAACCAAAATTAGTTATTTTTGGTTGTCATAGTTCCGAATATTGGTTGATAAATCTATGTTATTGGTCGCCACAAATACTAATGACAGTCAATTTATATGACTTTAGTAACCAAGATTTGTGACAAAAATTAATTTAAGTGTCATAGATGGCCATTCATTTTGGCCGACCAATAATACCATTATGACAACCAATTATTTTGGTTATCAAAATTTATCACAACCATGAAATTTAGTCGTGAATAATACATATGTCAACCAATTATATAATTTTAAAAGACTAATTATTTTTGTTATAAAATTTTAACACAACCATGAGATTTGGTCTTGAAAAACACCTACCTCAACCAATTATATCATTTTCGGAGACTAATTATTTTAGTTATGAAAGTTTAACACAATCATAAAGTTTGGCCGTGAAAAATATGCCGGTCAATCCTTCACGACTAATTATTTGGTTGGTAAGGTTTTGGTTGCTAAAACTACTTTTTCTTGTAGCGTGGGTTTACCGCCAGTTAATAGTACAAATACCATTGATTTGGACAAACACTAAAATATGAGGGCGGTTGGTATATCGGTTTCCCAAAAGCGATAAAAAAAATTTAGTGTCCACACTCCACAGATCTCTCGATGGTTTCACTTGACCGTCGAGAGCATATTTACCGTCGGTTAAAACCAACGCGCGCTGGTGTGGTAGAAACCGATGGTACATGACTTTGTTCTTGTCGTGTGCATCCACAAATGAGTTATTAATCAATTTCCAAGATAGGCACCGACCGAGTGATGTATCACTACTCTAGCAGGTAAGTTACTGATGAGAGCAAGTTGGTGCATCCTTCAACATTTATCATTTCCAACTGCAAGTGTTGTTCCAAGTGAGGTAACCTTTCCAATGAAGTGCATCCTCTCAAATTCAGTGTTTGCAAGGCCCTCAACCTCCCTCGAACTGGGCATCTCCATGATTTCCAAACTACGCAACTTCCCCGGATTCGGGAGTGAAGACAACGCTACTGTCTCTAATTTCGGGCATCTACTGATATAGAATACCTCTAAGTTCTCCAATCCGGACAAATCGAGCATTTTCAATGACGTGTAATCTATCAACTATAATGTGGCCAAAGACTTGAGGCTGGCAAAGCCCTCAATCTCCCTCAAGCTTGGCATATCCATGATTTGTAAACTACGCAACTTCCTCAAACCGCACATTTCAAGACTTTCCAAAGATGAGCAATTTGTCAACTTCAACAATGAACAAAGACATGAGGCTACCAATACCAAAGCCCCCAATCTCCCGCAAACTTGGCATGTCCATGATTTCTATACTCATCAACTTGGTCATATTTGAAAGTGACAGCAGTCTCTCTACTAGTGGCTGCAAATTACCCAAAATCAGTGCCTCTAACTCTTCCAAACACTCAAGCCCTTCCAGGGCGACCGACTGCTTACCATCAATTCTCATGTCTTTGAGGTGCAAGATCCTAAGCCTGGGGAAGTTGGACAAATGGGGGGTCTGAACTGGCCATCTCCTTTCTTGCAGCAGGGATTGCAACCGGTTATGACTAGGCGTTGTAACGAAGATGGCATGGTGGCTCCTGATCCTGTGGTTAATGACAAGGCTGAAAGCTCAATAATGGATTGCAATCTGACAATCTTATTAGAATGATGAAAAGAAATATAAATATTAACGTTTTGGCCACAAACTCAGCCTCCACGATCCTACCAACGTTCATCTCCTGCAAATCTGCAACTAGTAAGCAGACTTATCTCAACAACCTAACTGACTCGACTAACTCAACAACTTGCAGACTCCATTTCAAAGTAAAACTCTTGGCGCCCTATTGAATCCGAATCCGCAGAGGAGTAGGATTCTCCAATCTTCTAGCTTCGTTCCCAAAAATAACCTCCCCTGAACTGAAGCCACTATGCTGACTTCAGTTCAAGAACAGCAACCTTCAACCTGCATCTTCAAACTCCTGTAGTTCAACCATTCCAAGTCTGCTCCTCATCAACTGAAAAGTCTCCAGTTTCAGAGCTTTAATTAATACATCAGCAACCTGCTCATGGGTACTGCAATACTCCAACTCTACAACACCATCCTTTGCCAGATTTCTTAAAAAATAGAATCGGACGTCAATATGTTTACTTCTCCCATGCAACACTGGGTTCTTTGACGGCTTAATAGTAGAGCTGTTATCATAGAGAATCCTTGTTGCCCTCTGAACACTATCTCCCCAACCAATCTGCTCCAAAATTCTTCTTAACCAAACACATTGAGCAGCTGAGTAAGAAGCAGCCACAAATTCTGCCTCTGTGGTTGACAGGGTCACAACTAGTTGTTTCTTTGAAGCCCAGGAAACAATCCCTCCTGCAAGGAAGAAAGCGTATCCACTAGTGCTCTTTCTATCATCCAAATCACCTGCATAATCACTGTCAGTGTATCCCATTAGACAGTTGTTTTCACTCTTTCTTTTATACCAAATCCCATAGCTTGATGTGCCCTTTAGATACCTAAGCACCCTTTTGGTTGCCGGCATGTGCATTCTGGTTGGTGCTTCCATATATCTACTGAGAAGACAAACAGTAAACATAAGATCTGGTCTGCTTGCTGTAACATATAGCAGACTGCCAATGAGCCTCTTGTACTCTGTAGGATTGACCAACACACCATCTCCTTCCCTTGTCATCTTCACTCCTGGTGTTACCGGATTCTTTGTGAAGTTGCATTCAGCAAGGTTGAATTTCTGCAACAGGGTTCCAATGTACTTCTGCTGGCACATGAAAATGCCAGCCTTGTTCTGAACAACTTCAACACCAAGAAAATACCTCATCCTCCCCAAATTTGTCATCTCGAACTCAGCCTGCATAGTTCTCTTGAAGTTTGCAATCATTTCAGCATTATTGCTCGTGTACATCAAATCGTCCACATACAGGTTGCCAATCAGAATGCAGCCTTCAGTTCTTTTTATGAACAAGGTGTGTTCATATGTGCTCCTCTCAAAGCCAGATTTGAGGAAGTGAGCCTCAATCCTGCTGTACCATGTTCTAGGTGCCTGTTTCAGGCCATAGAGTGCTTTCTTCAACTTGTATACTTTTGATTCCTCCCCAGCAATCACAAACCCTTGTGGTTGCTCTACATAAATATCTTCAGTCAGTTCACCATACAAGAAAGCACTCTTTATGTCTAGCTGGAACACCTCAAAACCATGGAATGCAGCAAAAGCCAGTAAAGTTCTTATAGTATCCCAACGAGCAACAAGGGCAAATACCTCATCATAGTCAATTCCTTGCCTCTGAGTGAATCCTTTTGCCACAATCCTGGCCTTGAACTTATCAACAGTGTTGTCTTCCTTGTGCTTTGTTTTGTAGATCCACTTGAGTTTGATTGGAATGACATCAGCTGGAGCCTCGGTCAATATCCAGGTCTAATTCTTCTCAATAGATGCCATTTCTTCATTCATAGCAGCATTCCACTTGGGATCTTTTGATGCTTCTTCATAGGTTAAAGGATCCTCAGAAATTGCCACAATTGCTTTCCAGTCTGTGTCCACAAATCTGCAGTCATAAATGAACAAGTGTGATGGTGGTTTTCTTACCCTTGGTCCCAAATCTGTGCTGGGTAATCCCAGAACATCAATAGGGGAGCCATGATCTTCCTCTTCTTCTACTTCCTCCTCTTCTTCCTCTTCTCCTGTTGCTGGTGGTGTTGTGGTGTGAGTGACCTGATTAGAAGAGGATCATGTGGGATCAACAGGATCAGTGTCTGGTTCTTCCTCCCCTTCCTCTTCTGAATCATACCACTCTTCCTCACTGCCTTCCCAATAAATTTTGGTGAGCACAGGCTGTATTTCAGGATTCCAGTGCTAGCCTTTGTGCTCATCAAAAATTACATCTCTGCTGACCACTATCTTCTTGGTGACTGGGTTGTATAATTTGTAGGCTTTGGATTCAACAGATAAGCCTAGAAACTGACAACTGGTACTCTTTGCATCGAGTTTCTTCCTCGCCTGATCTGGAATGTGAACATAGGCCACACAGCCAAACACTCTGAAGTGTGAGACTGAAGGTGGTTGTCCAGTCCAGAGCTGCTGTGCAGTTTTCCCTTGATTGTCTGCAGTGGGACTTCTGTTCAAAATATGACAGCTCCAGGCCACTGCTTCTGGCCAAAAACAAGCACGAACCTTACAATCTTCCAGCAAGCACCTGACCATGTTTAAAATGGTCCTATTTTTCCTCTCAGCTACCCCATTTTGTTGTGGGGTAAGGCCAGCTGTGAGTTGTCTCTTAATACCTGCATCATCACATACTCCCTTGAACTCCTACAACATGAACTCACCACCCCTGTCTGTTCTAAGGCACTTGATACTTAGATCAGTCTCGTTTTCAACATGATTCTTGAACTTCTTAAACATCTCAAGAGTATCAGACTTGGCAGGCATAAAATAAACCCATAACTTTCTGCTGAAGTCATCAGTTAGGGTTAAAATATACCTTTTTCCTCCATTGGATGTAGGAGTAATTGGACCACATAAATTAGCATGAATGAGTTGGAGTTTCTCAGTAGCTCTCCAGAGGCTTTTCTTTGGAAAAGGCAGCCTATGTTGCTTCCCTATCATGCAGGTCTGACAGATGCCAGAGGTAAGTCTTGTACCAGTTTGTTCTTCTGCATATTCAAAATCCCTTGAGTGTGAACATGACCAAACCTCCTGTGCCATAGTTCAAGAGAGGCATCCTTTGAACTATCAGCTTGATAACACTGATGTCCTTCCTCCTCTTTTACCTCAGCTTGCAACACAAACATCCTATTTGTTTTCATCTGAGTTTGCAGTAATAGACCTCTTTCCTCATGAAATAGTTTGCAGGACCCTTCCTTTATGAGGAAAGAAATTCCCCTTTATTGCAACTGTCCCACACTCAACAGATTAGTGGTTAATCCAGGAACATAGAAAACTTCTTGCACTATGAAAGATGTCTGATTCACAAGTAGTTTAATAGTTCCTTTCCCACAAACACTTAATCGAGATTCATTACCAAGCCTTACTAAACACTGAAAGGTTGTATCTAGGGCAGTAAACCAGCTCCTGTCACCACTCATGTGGTTACTGCAGCCTGAGTCCAAGAACCACCACCCTTTATTGGTTTGCTGCTCTTTCCTGGTGCTTGATCCATCTGCAACATAGGCCATTAGCAGGACATCATCCTTCATGTCTCCTTGAGTTCTGTCTTGATAATGAGCATAGTGTGCTTGCTGATTTCTCCATTCTGGACACTCAAACTTGAAATGACCAAGTTTGTGACACCTAAAACATTCAAGAGATTCCCTGTTCCACCTTCCTGCTCTTCCTCTACCCCTGCCAGGATAGCTCCTTCCTCCATAGCCACGACCACCCCTTCCACCATACTCATGGAAGGTTTTCAGAGCCTGATCTTCTTCTGTTGAGGTTCTTCTCTGAAACTTTTGCTCATACACAATTAAAGAGCTTTGCAAAGCATCAACAGTCAACAGCTCTATATCCTTGGACTCCTCAATTGAACAGACCACAAAGTTAAACTTCTCAGTTAAATTTCTAAGAATTTTCTCAACAATATGCACATCAGTCAACTCTTCACCACAATTGCGCATAGAATTGGCAATCACCATTACCCTACTGAAATAGTCAGTAATGGTCTCACCTTCCTTCATCTCAAGGAGTTCAAAATCCTTCTCAAATCCTGCAACTGTGCCTTCTGTACCCTTGCACTTCCTTGATACTTGACTCTCATCGAGTCCCATAGTTCCTTGGCAGTCCTTTTCTTGGTGATGGTCTTCAAAATCACCTTGTCAATCGAGCTGAACAGATAATTTTTGGCCTTGAGATCCTTGAGCTTGAGCTCTTCCAATCTCTTGGACTTTGCATCTGTCAACTCCTCTCCTTCTCCAGGTTCCTTGAAGCCATCACTTACCACTCCCCAGTACTCTTTAGATCGAAGGAGATTTTCCATCAACAAGCTCCAGTGATCGAAATCTCCATCGAACTTGGGGATACACACTTGAGCAAAACTACTGCCTTCACTCATTTTCTCTCACCCTGTGTTTGCCTCACTTAAACACTCGTGTTTCCCAAAACCCTTTTCTACAAAATACTGCAGAACTCCTCTCTTGCTCAATCACTCAAGATCACCTTTGGTTATAGCTTGCTAGAGAGCTCTGATACCAATATGAAAGCTCAATAATGGATTGCAATCTGACAATCTTATTAGAATGATGAAAGGAAATATAAATACTAACGTTTTGGCCACAAACTCAGCCTCCACAATCCTACCAACGTTCATCTCCTGCAAATCTGCAACTATTAAGCAAACTTATCTCAACAACCTAACTGACTCGACTAACTCAACAATTTGCAGGATTAAAACTCAAAATATCCAAACGACACAACTTTGACTATTTTACGGACTCCATTTCAAACTAAAACTCTTGGCGCCCTCTTGAATCCGAATCCGCAGAGGAGTAGGATTCTCCAATCTTCTAGCTTCGTTCCCAACAAAGGCTGCGAGACGAGGGCAGTCCTGTATGCACAACACTTGTAACTTGTTAGAAGAAGATAACAGACAACCCAACAACGGGATCTCGGTGAGAAGAGGGCATTCCACAATGTCTAAGGTGAACAATTTTCTCAGCTGGCTGAAGCTAGGTAGTCTTTCCAACGCGCCACAACGTTCCAGTACCAATACAGCCAAAGACGACGACGAACACTGCCCCATATGACGACCATTGTTGTTGGTCAGGCCGTCAAGATGACGTAAATTCGCAACATCGGATATCTGTAGAGTTTGCAACGATTTTAGGCCGCCAAGACCTTGAATCTCCCGGGGCATGGGACAGTTTTCGATGATTAATTCGATCAGGTTCTCCATGTTCTCCAGATTCGGCAGCCACTCCAGTTGAGTGCAACCAATAATATGGAGGCGGGTTAGAGCTGATGGAAGTCTGCAGTTGCTAATAGGATTAATGTTGTTACCACTACTACTGCACCACATTCTGGAAGCTTCGTGGAGCCGCAGATACTTCAACTTGGATATCTTCCACCATGGCAACACTTTATTGTTATTGTCGTCGTCGTCGTCATAGTGGTCGTCTTCTGCTGGGGTTGGGATCTCGAGCCCATATTCACAGCTCTCGACAACTAATGTTTCCAATTCCAGCAACCGTAGGAGATCAACAACTGGAGACGAAGTGGTGAGCTCCTTCAAATTACTCGAACCGGCGACGAGCCTACTCGTCAGCACCTGTTGGTGGGTTCCTTGTTTCCATTTGGCTGATCTCGTTCTCAAGATTTGAAGAGACTGCAATTCACCAACATCCGCAAGAACATGGGCCAGGTTCTCGCACTCGCACTCCTCGACATCGAGCTCTCGGAGACCCTTTGATATCGTTCCAATTGTTCCGCCTGTTATCTGTTTTATACAAGCTCTGGGAAGACGGAGCACCAGTAGGTTCCTCAGCTTGCCAATATCCAGCTCATCGTCCCTCGTAGACTCCAGCCATCTGTAGGAACTAAGATCTAACACCTCTAGACTTCCAGATTGTGGTAGCTCAGGAAGTCTTGTCAGTCTACCACACTTGGAAAGATTTAAAGTTTTTAGATTGTTGGCCATCTGCAAGCAATTGAACGCGCCCAAGTCATTCACCAACCCAATTAAATAAAGAAAGGTCTGTCTATTAGATTTCTTTTAATCCTACAATTTATGAATTTGTGGGTGAGGGGGAAAAGAGTGTATAGTATAGATGATCATATGCATATAAACATTTTTGTATATATATCTACTATGGTAGCTATTCCCCTGCACTCATTTTTGGTGTATTGAATGCACACAAATCTTAAAGTGGTCATATACATAGAATTTTGAACTTTAATTTATAGCATTAGTCTAATATGATGATATAATATAGAATTAAACTAATCAATCCATTATCCGAACCCCTTAACCTTCAATTTTGAATAGAGGTGGCAAAAGGATTGGTGGATTGGATTGGTTTATTAATGGATCAAGTGGATTGACCATGAATCCAAATGACATCCAAGTCTTGGACCATTATGTAAATTCCAAAAAGTTTAGGTACTAAAATGTCATAATAATAAAAAATTAGATACCAAAACGTAATTTTCTAATCATATTTTTCGTCAATATAAATAAATTTTTGGTACCAAAATGTAAAGTATAAAAAGTATAGGTACTAAATTGTAATTTTCCATTTGGGTTCATGGATCAATACATGAATCCACCAATCTAATTGGATTTGGACCAAATGGATTGAATTAGTTGGATATTTAAGAGGATGGATTGGATAACAAATTGTCACCTCTCTAATTTTGAATCTCAACCTAAAACCTCAAATTGTAAACCTAAACTCTAACCCTAAACCATTCAAATTAAAGTAAATCTTGAATAAATGTACAAAATTCATGTGTTTTCTTGTCCATTAAACCACAAGTGATGATTGACATCGTTTTTATATGAATCGCCTGCTCAAAATGATGATTATGAGACGAGTGAATTGAATATACAACCAAAAAGTGAGTGCACTAAAAACAAAACTATATAGCCATATATAAATGACTCGGAAATAATAAAAAAATACCCATATATAAATGTTATGTACATAACATTTAATCATTAAATAATATAATATAATTACCTTTAAATGGGTCCAGCCTCCCCAATCGTTGCAAACATCGCTACCGCTGAGATCAAGAATAACCAATTTTTTCATATGAAAATTGATTAGATGATCATCATCACCCAACCTACCTCGATGATATCTCATTTTAAGCCATCTTAAATTGGGAAGAAGATTATCAAAGTCACCTTTCAACTTTGCATCAGGTGGTGCTTTGAAATACCTCAAACTTGATAAGTTCACAAAACATTCACTTGCCAAGTTTGTATAAGGCCGTGGAGTTGTTACCTCAATTGCTTTAACTTGTTCTGATCCCTGAACAAGTCATTAACCCAAAAAATAATTATTAAATATAAGCCAGAGTTGATATCTTTAAGGAGATCGGCTTATCATAAATATAGGAATTTTTTTAAAAATTAAATCAATATGTTAGTGATATATGCATAATTACATTAATAAGTCAATTACTAATATAATTCATTGAATAAGAATAATGAACATGTTATACACATTTTATATGCATTTAATATACGCAGATCGAAATCATCAAAGGAATGAAGGAAAAATAAGACGATATAATAATTAAGAAATTAAAAAAAATGCATAAAGTACGTATGTGAGTACTATACAATATACATGGGAACATGCATTTGTAATTATATATATACATGTATCATTTAGCAAATTTAGATTTGAAGTAGATATGCACTCTATATATAACCATATAGAAGAGTAAAACATGTTGGGAACAATACCTTTTTTTCATACAATAACTCTACAGCTGTTTCTACCGTCCATATTCTACTCCTCTTCCATGGATATTCGATATTTTCTCTACGAACTATTTCTCTGCCCATATCTCTTAATTGATCATGCATTTGAAATCGACAATCATCTTGATCAATTTTGACCATCGACCTCTGAATAAGAAGATTAATGTTAATGGTAGGATTGAAGTTGCAATCATTCCACATGTAGAGAGGCTGTATTTTCTTTCTCCCAATATAGAAACAAGCGATATCCAAAAATATCTCTTTTGCCTCATATTCCAATGCATCGTAACTTATTTTTAATCTTTCTATGGCATGTTTCTCAGGCACTTCTCTTAACTGTTTCAATTTTGCCTCCCAAATCGATTTCTCTTCTCGGTGCAAAAGCGATCCTACAACCTCAAGTGCCAATGGAAGTCCGCCCATGGTGGATACAATGTCGTTCGATAATATTTCATAATCCGGTGGGGGATAATCCTTCTTAAATGCATGCTTGCTGAAGAGTTTAACCGAGTGAGAAGGACTCAGTGCTTGAACTTCGTACAACTTGCATTTGTTTTCATTCAATCTACTTAAAATTTTGCAGTCTCTTGAAGTCACAATATATCTACTTCCAGAAACAAAGCCCTGAGGATTCCCCACAACCTCTCCAAATTTAAACTTTTCATCAACATCATCAAGAACGATAAGAACTTTGAATTGCGAAACTCTATCCATTATAATTCTCCTTCCTTGACTAACATCACAAACACGCTCCTCCTTTCTTGTAGCATCTTCTATTATCTTCTTTTGTATTTTAAAAATACCATCATTTTGATGTTGTGTTTCTCGTATGTTTTCCACAAAACTACAACAGTCAAAGTGAGATAGTATTTTGTTATAGACAACTTTCGCAAGAGTGGTCTTGCCAATCCCACCCATACCATGAAGTCCAACCATTGTCACGTCTTTAAAGTCTAAACTTAGTCTCTTCACTACCTCTTCTACATGACCATCAATGGCAACCAATTCATTTGTTTCTACTGTGCAATAGAACCTCCGTAGGTGTGACCATATACTATCTGAAACAAGATCTGAATATTTACTTTGCCTGAAAATTGAAAAGCGTTGCCAAAAAATCAATCAAATAAATTGTCGATAATGAGTACTGTTAAAGTTCAAGTAACACCAGCCCTCGTTAATTTCCCCTGTTCCTCAAATGAGGAGGCGCGAATTATCGAAAAGAAAAACCATAACAAATCAATGACCCCAAAAATTGAATGAATCAAATAATAAATGTGATAATAAGAGCTAGGGTATGGAAGGTACATACTCGTCATTATGCGTAACGTGCCATCCTTTCAAAGCTCCTACTGTGGTTAGAGCCGCTTTCCAATTTTGTATGGTCTGTCGATCAAAGCTCTTCTCATGTTCCCGAAACGCATCCTGATAAGGGCCGGTTTGATGTCGTACGTCCCTCAGGTCGACCATGTAAAAAATAGGAAGTACGATGCGCCTCTTGTCTTGCCTCATGTTTTCAACAATTTCGACAAGCTCCTTAAGGCACCATTTGCTATGAGCATAATTCTGCGATAATATCGGAACGTAAATCTTGGACTGGCCAATAGCCTTAGCGAGAGATGGCCATATTCCTTCCCCATTGCGGAGTTCATCGTCATCCTTAAACGTGTGGATTTTTAAGTGAACAAGAAAACGAAATAGGATATCCGTAATTTGATGACGAGTGTCTGGACCTCTGAAGCTCAAAAACACCTCGTACTCCACCGACGGAAAGGGCAACAAATCAGAAGAATCAGTAGGGTCAAAGTACTGCGCATCTGGCTGTTGACTGGTGCTATCGCAATTGTTGTCGCTGGTTTCATCATTGGAAGTGCTTCTCCTTCGAGACCACAACAGCTTGTAGAGGAGAATCAATGGAAGCACCAGTGCGGCAACCGTCGCTGCTCCTCTTATATTTGAAGTCATTCCTTCGCGATCGTATAAAACTTATGTTAGTCCTCGTAATTATAGTCAAATTAAATTATATGCAACAAAAAAAAAGTACAAGAATTAATTCATGAGATATGTATATCTGAAAATAGAAATTTGGAAAATCCTAGAAATGCAACAGCTTCATAAAAGATGAGATAGTAAACATGGCATCTGAAATTCTGCGATTCTTTTGCCACGGCGTAAAAGACAATCGTCGCTAAAGAGCTAGTAAACGCTTCCATATGTATAACTGTTTTCCTTTTCTGTAACCTCAAAAGGCATGAATAGGTTGAACGACTCGGTTAAGATAAACACAAATACAGAATTTAGCAAGTATATAAATGTATGCATAAGTGAAGGCAAATACATACTCTGAACGGTATTTTTAGTGACGAGTAATCCTTCGTCAAATTTAGGAGAAACGTTGACGGATAATTGCTTTATGCTGGATGGCTCAGATACTAAGAGGAACGGTTGATTGCTCGTCATCATATATAGGTATATGATCGAGCGAGTGATGAACACATTTTCCCCCATTTGAGCACTTTTCCTTCTTCTTTTGGTTGCAAAAAGCAGGTTCTCGAGTCGAATCAGATTCTGTTACAGATGTGAAGGCAAGTTAAAAATAAAAGAAGGTTATGCGAGGGATATATTCTTTGCATGCAGACGTTAATCCAACACTACTTTAAGTTTGACATGTATTTTCTGACGTTTCTTTTGGTTGGTCACTAAAAACTCTGGTTAGCTGTGATGACTAATGTAAGCAAACCAAGAAAGTTTGAGGGGTAATCAACAAGAAGAATAAGAACACTGACAGCTGAAACGCAAACTGGAGAATATGGTACGTTGATAAAACTTGATGATAGGGGAAAGGAACGAGAACATTCGTTGCTTACTTCCTGTCAAATATCAAGTGAACTAATGATCCACACTTGTTCCCTTCACTTTAGGAACTTCGCCAAGATAAAGTCTGATCACGTCTTCTCTATGATCAATCAATCCAAGACTAGTCCTACCACCAGTTAGGTCATCGCGAATAAGACTCCGATATCGTGACTACACGTGTGCGTCTAACAAGTAGTTTTCATATCATGACGACTTGCCCATCCTCCTTCAGATGCCAAGGTCATCAGTAAGCATTCACGACTCGACCCGCAATACTCGAGCAAGAAACAGCAACGGATATTACTAAAATCGTCGCCTAAAAAGTAGAACTCAACTATATAACATAAAAGCACTTTGTGGTCTAGGCACGATTTTCGATGCCGATGAATAAACTCTATCAGAATGCTAACGCAAGTACCGTTACAAACTAACTATGAAAGAAAACACAAGGCAATGACTTTATTTCCCCACCTTAACCTGGGCAATTCGGTTGGCAGAATTCAATATAGGAACTCAGACCTTGCTCTTTCTGCTCTTTTATTACTTGTGACGAGCCACGAACGAACTGAGTTTCAGAGCCTGGCGTTGCGGAGCTGCTGCTTCAGCATGGGGCGTATGTACTCTTGGTAGCCATCGGGGACAACAGAGTCATTCAGAGGATCCTTCCACGCCTCCTCGTACAGTTTCGGGTACACATTTCCGTCATAACACCCAAGTATTGATCCCAGGTAGTGGTCGGTGTAGTTGAATGCATCGACAAGTGCAATTGCGTTGGGACGAACCTGTTACTCCAGACAGCGTCCAGATGTCTAATGTTACTTAACTCTCTAATGTTACTTAACTCTCTTCCGGCAAGGAGAGATAGATAAGAAGCAGAGAGAAAAATATTGCGCACCTGAGAGAATAATGACCGAAGCTGATCATTTGCTAGGGAAGCCTGCTTCGCGGAAATGGCACCAGTGGAGAGGAAATCCCCTAGGTGTCTGTTGATGAGGTTCAAGGCGTAAATGTTGCAGAGGTTATACAACTGTTGTTTCACCCCTTCCCCACCTTGTATATCTTGTTGCAATTTCTCAATGAACCTGAATTTTAGAAACGTTGGTTAAATGTTGCCACAGATTTACGAGAATGTTTACAGACTTGATATGTTGGTTCAGAGTCACGGGAAAGTGTGAGCTTACTTAGAGACAACAATCAATTGGCAATGAGCGACAGCAGCCTCAGCCAAGAAAGCTGAAAGTTCTGCAAAACCTGGACAGAAAGGAGAAAGATGGTACATGATATCAGATGAAACTTGATTCCATATCAAGCAAAAGATCTAAGCAAGAGAAGCAACATAAAGGACCGAAATACGGCGACAGAATAAAGAGGCCAACTGGTATAGTCAGGTAAGATGAATCAAACAACTTTAAAAGCAAATGAGCTAAGATTTAAGAAGAAGACATACCCTCTTCAGGGTTCGGAAAACTGCCAAGCTTTTGAGCACGGTTAACACACATCCTAGCGGCCCTGGCTTCAAATACCTCAAGTATCACAGAAGGATTCAGCCAATCCTCAGCTGCATCAAATAAAATAGTTATTATCAAAACACCAAATTATGTTCCAGGTATATAAGAACAGCAGATAAGCTAGGAAGTTGATACTTCATGAGTCAGCTGGAAATATGAAATGAGTAAGATGATTTTCACTATCCCTGCAACAGTTGACATATATGAATGCGAAGATAGCTAACAAGGCAAGGACTAAAACTCGGTACCATTCTGAACACCACAGCGATACTGCATAAGATGTTCTACGCGCCCTAGGTAAGCTGTTGTTCCAACAGGTTTCTTTCCAGAAGGCAGCTGAGCAACAGTCTTCATCAGAAATCTTGCCACCTAGAATTTAGACCAAGTAAAATTTCAGCCCAGAATACGGGTTACAAATACTATATGCTAGAAATAATCTGTCCCACCTAGAATTTAGACCAAGTAAAATTTCAGCCAAGAATACGGTTACAAATACTATATGCTAGAAATAATCTGTCCCATGACTCCCACCCAATCAAATGGAATATATCAAGTAAAGATCCCCTTTATACATTTCACCTCTCATAACAGGGATAACAGAGTAGACAATAGGGAAGGAAGAAGGCAGCTTGTCTCAACGAAGGCAATTGAGGACAGAGTTTGAAGTTCTTACTCAACATTTCTTACAAAATATATCTACATCTTAGGTAAAAAGAAGCAGCAAGAGACCATGAATTTCTATACCTGCAAGAGCAGCACAACATTGTCTCCTTCATATGTACAGGCAGGAACATAGACTGCAAACAACTCAGGAAGCCCACTGCTGCAAAGGTAACCATGGCCGCCACACAATTTCCTACATTCTTCAATTGCATCCTGAGGCAACAGATAGTTTGTCTTGGTCAACAGCCCTTTCCAAAATAAGTTTATCAAGACAAACTAGAACTAATAAACTATCGAACACCAAAAGGTCGAACTTAGAGGACGTAAAGGATATAGGTTTGGCTTGCATTTCATAAACCTCAAATTGCTAAGTTAGAATGAAGAAGATAGTGAGCACATACAGCAGTGACAGAAGTAGTCAGAGACTTCAAACCAGCAGTACAGGCATGTGCTTCGGGCAAAGTAGAGAAGTCATTGGCTTGCAGTCTTTGTGTGACATCCGTATAGAGCCATTTTAACCATTCACCGACAAATCTGAAAGCATATGCAGAAGCGATCAAAGGGAAGAGTCTACTTTGCTGAGTCTTATAATCAATCACCTGGAACAGAACAAGCAGCCAAAACAACTGTGAGGGACATCTTCCGAGCTAGTAATTTCCGATCAGTTTGTTAGAGGCAAGCAAAAAATGTTTGCAGGACCAGAATCATGTCTCCAATATCCAGAAGGTAACAGAGGAAAACAGACCCATAGAAAAGAGATGAAAGGATTATGGCCAAATTTAAGTTTTGGTACAAAATATGCTTAACTAAGTTTTCTTCACCAAAAGAATTGACAGCAAATTCTCAAACTTACCTGTGTCTCGAGACCATTTTGAGAACCAAATTGCCTGCGAACAGCACTATATCTTGTGGCGATACAAACTGCTCGTGATAAAGCACGAGAAGCATCTGCCACAATTGTTTGTCGCACATAAACCATGGTACCATATATCAACTGCCGAGGGACATTGGACTGGACACATTTCCCTTCCTTTGTAACTTGCAGTACCCTATCAAATGTCCAAATTGGCAGAAAATACATGAGCAATGAGAATGATTGGAAATCTAGACTAGGCTTCGCATGATAGCTGAGCAAGGAGTGCCATTTGGCCTTCTAAGTTCTCATTCTTGTTCGTATCTTCTCAGAGAGAATGACTAGCTCATTATCAAACTCCCTATTTTCATTCCTGGATACCAAACTGAACCGTCATTGCTTATGTTACACAGAAGCAAAAATGTACAATTAAGTTTAAGTTTCATGTTAAAGCAAAGAAAAGAAAATCGTGCATTTCGGATGCATTTCCTAGGACCTTGGAGAGTCTATGTCATGACACATTTATCATTGACTTTATGGGGGGTGGGGGGGGGGGGGGGGGGGGGACACTAAGAGAACTAACCTCATCAACATTTGATCTCTCGGAATGCGCACATTATTGAAACGCAAAACACCATTGTCCATGGTGTTATAGGCACCATTCCCGAATTTCATGCCAATATCACCAATTGTTATGCCAGGTAGAGGCATGTGATCATCCAGGCTACGGAGCTGGACGATAAAACCTGAAATTTAAATTTCAGCATTATTAAATAGATCAACAATTCATATGTGTTAATAGGAGGAAAGTGTTTTTGCTCACCATGCACTCCATGTTCTTGACCATTGGTACTGAGACGTGCATAAACAACAGCATGGGTTGACACTTTACCCAATCCACCAGGCCACCACTACATAAGCAAACCAGCATTATTCAGTTTCAGGCTACAGCCACAAAACAGACATTTTAACGTTGCATCAAAACTCAAAACTGACATTGTACAAATGCATCTTCCTTGCATAGCAGGGAAGAAAAACATAATGTTTACATCTCAAATGCAGTGGTCTCAGCCTTTCTTACTCACTTTGCTTGAAGTTAAGGTGGGACTATGAATGACGAATTCATCAGTCTGGGGGTCAAATGTTGCAGTGGTCTCAAGCCCTTGGACGTTGGAACCATGACCTAGTTCAGTTTGTGCATAACAGCCGATTATCTGCATCCTGTGTGCCAGGGGCAACCATTTCTGTTGTTGCTCATCTGTCCCCTGCCCTTTAATAGCCGGCACAAACATTCCCTACACACAAACAGACCCAAGCCACACAAGCCCTGCCATCAGTGGGATGACAGATATGTAGAGGAATCAACATGGAACATGTATAGATAACAACTCTTTTGTAGACTGTAATCATTTGAAACCATTCGAAACACGAATTTCTGGGAGGAAGAAAATTGGACTTGATCATTTACCCAATGAAGATCGGTGAATGCTGGTTCATCCACATAGAACCTCAACTTATTCGCCTCTTCCTCTGCAACATCAACAACAGCATACTATAAGATGGGTAACAATACTACATGAACTACCCACCCGCATTCCAAATCAACGCAACAACTAGTAAATAGTGCCCGATAATTGCATCCAAAATCATAGAAATGCACCAGTAAGACGAAGCTCAATGATTCGCTTCCAGGCATAGGCCGCCTTCCTCAGAGTATTCTTGAATAACTCCTTCCTACTCATCATAACTCTGTTGTCCTTTCGAAACGCCTGCAAAATTTCATACCGGCAGAAACTAACCATGTCATAGCAAGTCCCCGAAGAGTACACAAAACCTCTAATCCAAGAATCCACACATGTAATTAACCCAAATTTGATCACTCGCATCATTTCCCTGCGGTCTACGAACCCAAACAGCTCCAGAAACCACATGAAACGAAACCCCAACTTTCTCCCAATACGGATTAAAAAAAAAAAATCCTCAAATACCATTTCTCGTTTCCTCCAATCATCCTCCCCGTACAAAACTGGCCAACTAAAAAGTCAAAGGGCCGCAGCTAAAAGTTCAGTTTCCAGATTTTTCTTACCGGATCACTGGCGACGAGACGAGAGATGCGGTCGGAGAGCTCGAAGTCATGGCGGGAACCAGCCCAGACGACCTTCATCTCGTCGACATCGAACTGAGCCTTGTTCCGCTCGTCGGCCAAGTGATCGACTACGCCACCGCCGCTCTCCATTTCTCACTCTTGCTCGGATTCGGGAAGTCGAGCGACTCGGAGGAAACCAGTTCTCGCGGTTTGGTGGTAGTTGATTGGGAATTTGGGAGAGAATGAAAGCGAGACCAAGAGGAATGTGAGCGTTTCCCGGCTCTGTCTTCCTTGTGTCGTAAATAAGGTTTGGTTGTTGGGTAGAAAAGAGTCGGTTTTCTTCTACAACCGGTTAGAGAGAGAAAGAAGAGAGTCAGATCGGACAAGTCATTATCCCAATCCTTCCAGTCGTCGGATTTGTAGTTCCCGAGGAAAGGTCAGATATTTTATTCAATGATATTACCTCTATTTAGTTGGAAATTGGAATATACCGTCCGTATATAGAAATAGAGTCAGCCTCAAATGGAACGAGAATTCAAATTTAATTTACCATGGTTGAAAAATTCGCATTTTTCTTCTTTTTAACCGTCCTATACCAAACTGGCTGGGCCGACGAAATGGGTAAGGCCTTAACATTTACGTGGCCTACCATAGTAAAAAATCATTTAATATTACATACTAAATATGTTTAAATTTTTTCATTCCCATACTATTTAGTTGATGATTTAATTAATTATTTAGTTGATATTTCATGTATTAAATATAGATAACACATGGAATACAGTGTTTTAATACAGTATTTAGTTTTAAAATTATTAATTTCAAACATTCTTATAATCCATGTTAAATTTTGAAGTATGGTTGTCATGTTAGTGGAATGCTAGCCAGTTGAACCGGTCTTGACATCGGCGTGAATACCATCAGTATGACCAGCATGATTGATTTATAGCCTATAAACAAAATGTCGCCGTTTTAGTGAATTCAATTAATAAAAATATAATTTTTTATTTATTTCATGAATTTAAAAGTTAAATTGGATTCAAGTATAAAAATTTGGAGGTTGACATTAAATGTTTTATTTAAATGAGTATTTGTTATTTCGTTTGAAATATTATATTTTATTTAAATACGAATATAAATTGCGAGTAAATTGTCTTTAAATATGTAATCCATTTGATTTAAAAAATTTTTAATAGTTTTACATATTTTATGCCGGTAACCATCACAAACTAATTGTACAAGTACCAATAGTCAAATGATACCCTACCGGTTAGGCGGGTGAGTTCTATTCTATAAATGAGCGTGTCCTTGAAATTTTGGTCGGTAGAAACAAATAGCCACGTGTTTTTCTTCCAACACAGAATCGTGTCAAAAGCTGCTTCAGACGAAGAGGAACGATTGAAGGAAACGAGCACGGCAAAACATGCGAAACGTGGCTGGCGCTTTCTTTTTCTTATCATTATTTCACACTCCAAATTTGGCCATGGTACTTAATGGGGAACTTACGCCTGATAACCTGCAACTAAAAATATGACTCAGTGATGAAGATGATATAACTTTCACCTAGGCTCATTCAATCACGCAAACAAAGCAACAACCAACCACTTCGCAGACTTAACATCAATGAAAATCAATGACCCATCCACACACCCATCTCCATCCTGAGTCGTCTCCTTCCATGGTTCACACTGGCCAAGCTGAAAGGGACTAGAGCCCATAACCAGTAAGTACTCGAGCAACAAGAAAAAAGGTTGAAAGAAAGACAGCAGAGGTGGATCAATGGAGGGAATGGACAAAAATAATCATTCAGCAACTTGGTGAGTGAACGTTCAAGTAACCTTTTGGTTAGTAAAAGCTCTATGGTTATAAGTTCAAAGCTTACATTTCTTTGCACCATGAGAAGGAGACACCTTGAGAATTGCCATTTGTTACCAGATCAGTTCCTTCCTTCATCTGGTAGATATTGAAGCATCAGTAAACAGTAGCTGCATGAACCATATCAACCTCCAACTTTAGGTACACTTCGCGGCATTTTACAACAGCAGCAGTTCTGACTCGCAAGTAGTTGCTTGTACATTGGAGGCAAACCCAACTCCGTTCGTATCCCAGCACCTGAGTGTCATCTTGCAGTCCGATTAAGAATGGAATAAACATCTGACCTCCGCATTAGCTCTACGCTCTCTGCAATCGTCGATCCAGCTGTCCCAACAAAACCGAGGGATGCACAACTACAGACGCTTTCTTCTATGTACAAGAGAACATCCGGTGGTTTCTGACGAGGGCAATGCACATTCCCTCTGCTGCCTCTCTTTCCTACCTGTCTTGCTGTTTCAGCAACCAATCTATCTTCTTCCCTAAGAAAATGCAACTTAAACCGATTCTCATTGCTAGCTAGCTCACCCAGATAAGTTCCGCTCCAGTTACCCTGAGGAAGATCGGTCATCACAAAAATGTTCACTGGCCGGCCATTCCCCTGGTTCAAAGATTCAAGCTTTTGTCTTAGAACTTTAAATGTAGCCTTCCAATGGTTCTTAAACTGTCCATCTAACAATCTCAGCTGCGCACAAACAAAAGGGTCTCTTATCCTCTCCAATGCAAACTTCTTCCCTGCATTCAATATTTCAGGGACAAACGGCATGAAATCTCCGTTCTTTACTTTCTGAATATCAATATAGGACTCTGAGCCTTTGTATGGAGCGGAGAAAAGGGATCCGAATGCAAGAACAGTGGCCGAGTCAGCTTCAGATCCCGGTCCAAGGGTCTTACGCAAATCTCGACGTTTCCTTACATACGAAATCTTCTTCTTCCTCTTGAGCTGTTCATCGGGTTGAAATGAATCTAACTTTCCATCATCACCATTTTCATAAGTCCATACCGTGGTTCTGCAGTCTTCCTCTACTGCATATAAACACCCACCAAGGTTACCTTGAACCCCAGATAGCACATGCCCACACTCGATAAGGCTATCAAACAATGAAGAAGACCCTGGTTTCAGATCATTTACACAAGTGGAATCCATATTTACACCACAGAATGAGGCTGCAAAGTCCCTGAAATCGATCACACGAAGCGAAGCAGACTCTAGTGGGGAGATATCAATAATGTCAGCCATCGATACATACCTGCAGTAGAAGCAGTTGCCAAGATGTTAAGAACCAGTAAACCCTAATCCTTCAATAAAAACCCAATCTAGCTCAATTATCCGTGACCAACTTCGTACAAACTAGCAATTCAAGCACACTGCATTACATGTACAATTCGTACCTTCCGCTTTTCATCAATTCAACGGCGTGATTCCAAACCGAAGCTCGAATCTCGTTAGGCGCCGTAACCCGGAATTTCGGGCAGCTTCCGAGGGCAACAGCGTGGTGATCGAGGATTGGAGGGACGACCAGAGTCCGATTCAGAATCCCCGCCATTAACGCCGCGTTCTTGAGCTCCGACAGCTGGTTGCTGAACCCACTGTGGGGCGCGTACCAGAGAAACTTCTCTCCCACACGGGATGAAGCTCGGATTTGTCCGCATTGAGGGTTCTGGGTACTAAGGGTCTGCGTTGAGAAGAGAGATTTGGAGGTAGAAATTGAGAGGAATATGAAGAGGAAGAGAGTGAGAAGAGAGATCGCAAGGATGAATATGGCAGATCTGAGAAGAGATTGGGTTGTGGGTTTTCGCTTCGGCCATGATCTATTTGTTTCTCTGTGGAGATTGAAGATCGCATTCATGGCTGCCTGTCGCCCGGAGGTTTTTGCGCCGAGGATTTGCCCGGGAGCTTTGATTGGGTTGACGTCGGAGTTCTCGCGGCTGAGCGAGTGGAGTTGGGTAGGGCCCTGATTTGGGCTTTGCTCTGGTGATTGGTGTATTTCGCGGTTTGTATAAGTAGATAACCACTTAACCAGATTTTTTTAGGCAAGGCTAAAGGGTATGGGACAAATACTCGACACGATTATAAGACCAACTCAAATTCTACATGTTAGTCCATGTGCAATCAGATTACCGATGAAAGAGTTTGAAAAGCCACTACTTGGGCAGCTCTGAAGTAGCTCCGATGAGCAAAGACACGACACTAACGGAAAACAAATAAAGAAAATTACCCAACATCTCCAAGATAGTCCCGCCAATAAGTGGAGTTTCTTTCGATGGAGTGTGCCGAATGACGAATATTGAGTTGCCACAAAAAAAAACAAACATTAGCATTCTTCGAAAGAGCATGCTTAATTACTCATAAATTTGTGAAAGCAAATAAAATTAAACTATCACCTGATAGATCGTTGAAACTTATTTCAATTACTTTCCTATCATATGAGCACATGCAACTACCCTTGAGGCAAAATCTACCTTGTCACAAATACCGGTTACTTATCTCACCAGGTGGATAAGCAAAGGATTAAAAGTTATAATTAATTGGGAGACAATTTCAAGCTAGATTGGATTAAACTAAATCATTAGCGAAAAATACAATTTACATACACATCATAATTCAAAAGGGAAGAATTTATTAGGTGTATTGTTTTGGCATTGGATAACGCTCTGAGTTTTAATGTTAATGTTAATGAGTACGATTCAAGGTTTGATATACTGAAATTCAACAAAGTTATGTATGGAAAACAAACAAGAATGATAAGATTATGAGATTATAATCACGACTTTATTTTTTAAAATTGATGTATTTCTCAAATGTTGTGAAACCATATTAAAGCTCGTATTAGTAAGGTCTAATGATAAGATGAATGTTTTGAAGAATTGTATCTTGCCTATACAGATGAGCATGTGAGAGTAACTTTCTAAAAACCCTACTTACTGAATCCCAAGCTATCTGGATTCTATCTGAATCAGGTATTGAAGATCAAATGCGAGAGCAAGGGGTAAGATACTATGCCTACTTTTAAAGGGGTTGTTTTTTTGACACCCCTTTCTCAATTTGTCAATTTTTTCATTAATTATTGACAATTATTAATGAAGGTAGAGATAATAAATGTTCTGTTATTAAATACAAAGTAAGCATTAAATACACCACATTAATTACTTGTTTAAAAAAAAATCTAAACATATAGAAAATACAATTCTCTCTCTCGTCTTTGATCTTTCTCACTCCTATCTCTGATTCTTCCTTTCCCAGCAGCCTCCGACCACCACACTTTACCGGTAAAATCCCGCCGACAGACTCTTCTGGTCACATGCAAAAATATACCACTGCATTGATATGTTCTACCAATATTTGTACCAGTGCACTTATACTCAGATATGACATTGGTACCAGTGCACTGATATCGCTACCAGTGTAGTGGTATAGCGACGAGTGCATTGGTACAACGTGTCAGTGCAGTGGTATATGTTTTGCAGGTGGTCGGAGGGAGTCTGCCGATGGGATTTTTACCGGAGAAGTGTGGTGGTCGGAGGCTGCTGAAAAAGGAAAAGTCAGATATAGGGAGAGAGAATGTATTTAGTGTAGGTTTGAATTTGAAAAAAAAATTAATATGGTACATTTAATTCCTAATGTGTATTTAATGTTTGTATTAAATTATGTAATTGTATTTAATACCTCGGGGTATCATTTTTCCAACCCCTAAGGGGGTTAGCATGCTAACCGACCCCAAGAGCAAGAAGGGGATCACAAAACCAGAAGCAACACTACTAACTGAGAGGTCAAGATTCAAATAATTTCTCTAGCATCTACACCAACACAAATGCTACAAAAACTACAAAGAACCTACCAACTCAGACACCAGTCAAACCCTAACTTAACCCAACAGTCTTATTAAAGATCACTCCACAAACCAATATAATCACTAAACATAACCAAAAACCAGTCTGCACATCACGAGTCTACTACCTTCTTTTCTATACAGTCACCTGCCAGAAGCCTCCCATCATACAGCATGTATCAGAGGGTTGCTGCTCGAGTTATTAGCTGTTGGATTGGCGTGGAAGGCAGATTGCCCTGACGATGACCCCTCAAGCAGTTTTACTGACAGTGAGGAGGACCCTGAACTACCCATCGACTCTCCTAGGCTCAGCTTCGACATGCCAACGAGCTCGTCGACATTGATCGGGTTTTTGGTATGTAAAGCAGTTGGCTTCAGAATCTCGTGGGTCCCCTCCTTTTTAGGCTGCTCTGGTAGTGCACTGTAGCCAGTCGGCCAAAATGGGAGAGAGAATGGGATGAACGGGGAGAAGTATGTTGGGTACATAACTGGGTATACAGGTGGCTGCTGCTGCTGTTGCAGGGGATCAGGCTTCGGAGGGAGAGAGCTACTGCTGTCACCCTCGTTGGAGTTGGACGACTCCATTGATTCACATTCTTCATCCACTGAGGGAGGAGGCAAAGCAGGGACTACATCGTCATCCTCCTGGGTTTCAGCATCAGGATTGCTGATAGGCAAGAACTCCTGAGTTGTCATCTCTGTATCAGCAGCCTACAAATAAAGAAAGTAGAATGATAACATCATTGCATGATTAGAGTGCTGACTAAATGCGGATACAGATTTGTCCTTAATTGCAGAACTAGAAAAATTATAAAGGAGGGGTGGTGCTCACATCATCTGCAACTATATCGAAAAGGCTGGAACGTCTTTTCCTCCTAGATACATTACTTTGCCTAATGAAATACTTCTGAGCATGACTGGCCACCTGAGTGGGAGTCCTTGATATAACGTAATTTCGTGCAATTCCACGCCAATCACCTTTCCCTAGCTTCTGCAAGCCTAATAGAAACATTCTATGCTCCTCTTCAGTCCATGGAACACCTGCTCGAACTTGTATATGTTAGCTGAAGGAACAGACACAATAGGCTAATAGAAAACTCCAACAACAAATCAATAGTCATTCAAAGAAAGCATTCTTCACCAAAGAACTGTCTAGAGCATATCCTTAGAGCAAATCCATTGTATAAAAGAACAATCCATTGTATGAGAGCAATAAATTGCTGTTAAACCAAGTTAGTTTTTGCAGCGATCACCCTAATGTTTACCTTAACCGATTGATCGGAGAGATTAACTGATATTTTGGGTTGAATTAGAATTCCTTATTGAAGTCACTAACTTAAGATCATTTCATTCCAAACCCTGATCAGAAGATAAATTATCATTTCCAACTAAACATGTTTGAACCACAGCTGCATAGACGAACTAAAATCTATGAACTAACATAGTGAACCAATTCAATTAATCTCAATCCCCTGATCTGACTAAAGTTCCTCTTTGATTCCATTCTCATCTACATCTCAACTTGTTGTACGAAAAGGGGGAAAAGAGACGCTGAAAAACAAAACCCAAAAGGGAAAGCTTATCCGGATCAGATTGCTTTGATGCCAAACTTCTACATTTCCCCACCAACGAAGAAATGAAGTTCAAAATTGAATCAAGAACAAACCCTCAAACATTTCAAATCACAATTTCTCACACAATCCAAGAAAACAATTCAGTATTCACAGAAAATTATTAAAAAAAAAGGATCCTAAAATCAATCCAAACCTTTCTTCCTTTCGCGGCTAGAGGACGACCCAGCAACGAAATCCTCAGAAGCATACCCATCACCGGCGCCGCCGTGATCGTGGTCATCGCCGCCGGGCGATCCGGGCGCGTTCAGCCCGGAAATGTTCGTACCGCCACCGCCGCCGGGATTAGCCGAGCCAGTGTAATGGCTCAAATTGCCCATACTGGCACTCTTCCGGATCGAGCCGTCGGTCAATCGGACCCCGAACAGCTTGACCCCGCGGTTGGGGCAAGTCCTGGAGTTGTGGCCATTGTGGCTGCAGTGGGAGCAGCGCCTAGTCATGGCTGCCTTTCCTGGGTTCGGATCGGATCGAGAACCCTCGCTGACGATTGAACAGATGAATTCGGATCCAGGGGAAATAGAAAAGATTCGGGGAGAACTTACGAACGGTGTAAACGGGGGCGCTGTGTGTTTGCTCTGTCTGTCGTCTCTTTGAGATGGCTGGCTAGCGTGATAGAAATTAGAAGAAGAGAGGAAGTGAGAGAGAAAAAACAATAATATCCGTTTTATATCCATAAGTTTAGGGTTACGTTTTTTCCCCGGATAAAAAGGGAGGATTAATTGGAAAAAAATTATTTGTTGGTTTTAGGTGTAGATTGCCACGGTTTATGTACAGGAAGCTTATATTAATGTGACTTTTCGGAAGGTTGCTTATTATTGCAGTGCTTCATCGTGAGTACTTTTAACTTTATTTTAAAATTCATTCATTTCATTTTAAAATACGTCTTGTCGGTTAAGATCGATTTTTTTGCTTTTGAATCATAAATCTTTCTCGTGAGTTGTTAATGTCAGATTTGTCTAATGTGTTACGTACCAGCCCCTTCAAGGATTTAACGTCCACGTGGAGGTTTGCCTAACCCATCGCCCAAGAGGGAGGATGGCAAGAGGCACAAGTTTTACTTGTAACATCTCAAACCTTTTTTCAAATAAAATATTTTATACCTTTGAAACACAGATGGTTTTGGTCATGGGTGCACATCAAGGTGACTTTCAAAGAGGTCACTCATCCTTGCGGTGTTTCATGATAAGAATGTTTAACTTCATAGTTCATAAAAAAAAATTCCTCCATTACACTCCAAAATACGCATTATCAATTAAAATATTTTTTACGTATGAATTATGGATATTTCTCGTACTTTGTCGATATTGTCTAAAGTATTAGATTGATTATCTATCCGGGGTGTCAAAGTGACAAGTGTAGAAGTAGGGAATCTCAACCGGTCGGCGGTTCATAGTCCACATTTGGGTTATGCTTTGAACGGCCTGGACAGGATCAAATCCACGTATTGTTTAATTTGGGTTCGATCTCGATTCTCAAGTAATTAAATTCTGATTATATTGGATTGGATCCTCGTTAAAGCCTGCATTTGATTTTTTATTTATTTATAATTTTCCTATTGTCCATAGTTCAAGTGATAGAAGAGGATAGAATATAAGTTCTACAACTTCTTGTATCAGCCAAATCAAAGCAAAAATGTTAATGGTAATTATGGCAGAGTATCGAATGTATAATCCTCTGTTATGCATATTTAATTTGGATAATCAATTTTTGAGAATCAAATATATTTTTTGATTTATTATTTTTTGAATGGACTTGTATCTCATTCATTTAATTTGATTTACAAAAAACTTTGTTCACAAAGATTGATTGTGATACGACATAATGATATCATATTCAATATAATGTACAACCATGATGTACGTGGATATTATTTTATAAAAATAATTGTTCTTTTTTTTTATAATGGTGTTGACACCTAAAAATTAATTCGGCCGAAATTAAATGCCGCATTAATTAGTCTCGGCATTTAATTCGATACCGTGGGTAAAAAACGGCGTCGTTTGAAGTCGAGCGGTATCGCGGAGAGTTAAAACGATACCGCGAAACAGAAAAACGGTACCGCAAGGAAGCTCGGCGGTACAGCGGCACTAGAAACGGCACCAGTCACCAAAAAACAAAAGAGGGGTGTGCGTTTAGTCGTAGTCGGGGAAGGAGTTTTTGTTTGCTCTAATTAATTATTATTATTTTTATTCCTTGTTGGATAGGGAAAAGCGGCACCGCGGAGAGCTAAAACGGTGCCGCGGAATTTAAAACGGTACCGCGAGGAAGCCCAACGGTACCGCTTTACCAGCAAACGACAGTGTTTAATAACGAACAGTGTAGCGGAAGAAAAAAACAAACGGCTGGTTGAGGAAGAAAACGATACCGCAAGGCTGGAAGCGGGGTCGTTTAATATCAAAACAATGTCGCGGAATGGAAAACGACATTGTTTGACAGCATCGTTTAGTGAAAGGCGATGCCGCGAAAAGGTAAAACGACACCGCGTCAGTGGATAGGAGTTCGGCCAAAGGCGAGTCCTGGCAAGCCCAACGACAGCGCAAGACTGGAAAACGACGTTGTGTAATAGGCTAACGGTGTTGTTGGTCAAGCCGGGTCGAGGCAATTGAGTGGTGATTATAAAACGGCATCAATTAGTGAAAGGTGATGCCGCGGTATTGGTGAAACGACATCGTTACATGGACAAGATTGTAGGATTTGGCTCAACGTCGTTTCGCCAAGTTTATGCAAACAGGAGCGGTTTCGAGGGCACGTGATTATCACGCAACAGGGAGGAAGTTACTTGCACGGTTGACGGGAATGAAGACGTGGGAGATAAAGAAGTGAAGGCGGTTACCACGACTACGGAAAAAGATGGCAGTATAAACATCAGGAAGAGAGAGAAGCTGGGGACGGCAAAATCAAATCACAACTCCACCATCGCAGAATTTATCGTTTTCTCTCTAGTTTTCGTAGAACCGCTCTGTCAAAGACCTCCTTTGCAGAGTCGTAGTCGTAGCTTGTAGTCGTAGTCGCAGAGCTCTCCAGAGGAACCTCCATAGGAGTAGAGGTAAATACTCTCGGTTTGGTTTCTCGTTTCTCGTTGAACACCCTCGTTCGAACGTAGTTTGGAGAGGTGGTGAACCGAGTAACGGTTGTTTGATTAGAGGTCAAAGGTGCATCGATCAAATCAACAACGCCGATACCGGCGGCGGATATTTGACGATTGTCTTGGTTTCTGCTTTAATCAATCAAATCAACGGCGCCGACTTCGGCGGCGGATATTTGACGATTTTGCTGATTTTGTGTTTGTGCTTACTTGAATACAATGCGCATTGAACACGCGAGTTTCGCCAACGAAACAAATTGGCACACCTGGTGGGACCCGTGTGTTCGCATGGCTCCGCGACGAAAGAATCAAGAAGGGGATGTTCCGCCCGGATTCGTGGAGGAACATGTGGCCAACATTGAAGGAGGCCAAGGAGTCGGTGCTGAAGACATCGGCGGGTCTGGGAATCCACCGTCCGCAGCTGGGCCGACCGAGGATTTGTCAACCCGCCATTTCATGGAGGAGAACCGTCGCATGTTTGCTAGCCTCAACAATGAGTTCGCAGGCTTCAAAGGCGAGGTAAATCAACGTTTTGACGCTTTAACTGCACGACATGATTCTCTTGAGTCTCGTGTTGATAGGCGTTTAGGCCAACTCTTTGAAGTTGTGACTAAAAACAGACATGATTTTGATGTTTTTGTGGATAAAAATCTACGTGACATGAGTGAGATCAGGTAGCTTTTGGGTAGACCAGTAACGCAACCTAGGGATTTTCCGTTAAACGGTGAAAATAATCTAAACAGTGAAACTGGTTTCCAAACAACGATGCTCGAAATAGTCCGCCAAGGGAAGGGGTTCCGCCGACACCGGGGGTGAACCCACCAACTCCGCGAGTTAATGTTGGCGAGACTAGCACTGCCGCTAACACTCGAGTTGAACCACCGTCGTTTCACGGTGGGGGTCCACAAAACATCCCGGAGGCGAGGCCCTATGTGGCTCCGATGAACGGTGGTGTTGGTGGAGGAACGATCAACAATGATCATGTTCCCCCACGCGGCTACCCGCAAAACGTCCCTCCTCCTCCAAACGGGCTTGGCATGGATCCTGGTGGATTCATACCACAAGGGGGGCAACTCGGGGGGCAAGATGTTAATTTGATTCGAGATCAGGTAGCACAGATGCTGGCGGATCAGTTTGGTTTAGGGATTAGACAAGCGAGGCCGCCGGTATATCGAAAACCATATCCGGATTGGGTTGATAGATACTACCCATTTCCACGTGGTTTTCGCGTACCTGATTTCATCACCTTCAGCGGGACTGGAGATCAGTCCACCGTCTAGCACGTTGGACGATTCACGGTTCAGTGTGGTGACGTGAGTGATTTCTTGAAGTTGCGATTGTTTGGCAACTCGTTGACCGGGCCCGCATTTGCGTGGTACGTCAATTTGCCATCGAACTCGGTTCAAACATGGCAGCAAATGGAACAAATGTTCCATGCTCAGTTCTACCGTTCTGAGCCAGAAGTAACTATGGCAGACTTGGCACGAATGCGCCAACAGCCAGGGGAATCGGTGGAACATTTCTTAACTAATTTTGAGAATGCAAGAAATCGCTGTTTTGTGAACTTGACAGAACGCGAGTTTGTTAAACTTGCTCAGGGTGGATTGAATTTTGAACTTCGTAAAAAGTTTCAAGATAGGGAGTTCTCCGATCTGTTTCAATTGATGTCCTGCGCTGTTAGATACGAATCTCTTCTTCGTGAAGAAGAACGTAAGAGGAGTGGTTCTCGTGGACAATATTTCCCTAATTTTGAAAACTATGGTGTGAATAACGTCGGCAGTGATGTTGACGAGGTTGAAGTTGATTTGGCCGAGATTGTGCAGGGAAAGCCATATGTGTGTGCTTCTCTAGCCAAGGCCGAAGGGGAACCACAAGGTGGAAAGCCCCATCATGCTCCAATTCAAACTAGGAAATATTCCTTTGATGTTTCAAAATCAGAATTGATTTTCGACCAACTTTACAAAGATGGTCAAATTAAGTTAACTGGGGGGCATACTATCCCGCCAGCTGAAAAATTAAAAGGAAAGCGCTACTGTAAGTGGCACAACAATGTGTCTCACTCAACTAATATGTGTGTAGTGTTTCGAAACGTGGTGCAGGATGCTATTGAAAAAGGTCGGTTCAAGGTACCAGAGCCGAGGAAGGAGGCCATGATTGTTGACACTGACCCGTTTCCCAACGGTGTGGGCGTCAATATGGTCCACATTGTGGGGGGCAACATTGTCGAAGCTCTTTTGTACCACAAAGACCTTGGTTCTCAAAATATTAGGAGTATGGAAGGGGGACCATGCAACGTCGCAGTTTCAAGCACAAAGGTGTTGGGTAAGGCGTGCTTGAACTCGTTGTCCGAGATTGTGAGACCATCAATGCTTGCATTAGGCGGTCCACCAAAATCTGAGTAAGCCACCTCAAGAGAGGGCGACGAAGGCCGAAATTACGGCCTTGCTGGAGGGGTTGCCGATCAACGGCGACGATGCGAGTAACGAGGTGGGAAAGGAAGCAGTGTTGCCGACATTGTAGAAAAATCTACCTTGGTGCGAAGGAGGATCAACGTTCAACTTTCATAGTGCCATCTTGCATGAATCTTACAGGTACGAGTTAACTCTGCTTCTGATTGGCTTCAAAGATTGTGTTACGTGTGAATTTCATGAAATGTTGCATGTGCATGTTGCAGTCTTGCTAGCTAGACCATTTATTGATTTTTATGTTAGATTGTCCAATAAGTGAAGGATTGAGCTATATAGACACTAACGGCGTTGCAACAATAAAATCACCGCCGTTGGAGTGAAGTTGTGGCTTGTTATGTTATATGGTTTGAGTTTTTGGTCAAAGTTGTTTAATATGGTTGGCCAGTGTTTACGATGTTGACGAGATAGCCAAAACATCGACATAGAGTAAAAAGCTTTACCATGTAATTTTCGTTGACAATGGTCGCCTAAGACGAAAGAAGGACCGGACCAATTATGCTTGTTTTTACCTGAGCTAGCAAGCGAAGTTGTTTGTGGCATGGCTGTTGTATTCTCTTTTAGCAACAACTTTGTTGTGGCTTGGAGGAAAGAAAAGAGCATATTCTCGGCCAAACATAATAATGATAATAATGAAAAAAAGAAGGAAGGGAGAGATGGTGCGGCCAAAGTCCAAACAACCCTGCTATATAAAAAAAAAGGCTCTCATCTCAGCGCTGCCGCTAACAGCCCAGAGGAAAAAAAAAACAAATGCAGCGCTGGTGGGAAATAAAAAAAAACAATTTTTGCATGCAGTGTTGCCGCTGATGCAAACAGCGCTGAATTGAAAAAAAAAAAGAAGGCTCAGCGCTGCCGCCAAGCAGCCCTGAAAAAAAAAATTAGATGCAGCGCTGATGGGGAGTAACGAAAAAAAAAAGGGTCAGTGCTGCAGCGGCAACTCAGCCATGACATCACAACAAAAAAAAAAAACAAACTCTCACGGCTTTGGCCAAATAGCCCTGAAAAAAGGAAAAATATAGAGGCAGCACTGGTGGGGGGTAACGAAAAAAAATATATATAAAAAAAAAATTCAGCATGCGGCTGTTAACAGCTCTGATTTCGAAAAAAAAAATATAAAAGAAGGCGGTTGAGGGAAGGATGCCAGCAGGCCTGATGCCAGAATAATAAAAAAAAAATTTGGCAGAGCTGCCGCTGTGAGCTAACAACAGCGCTGATGATGATAAAAAAAAAAGAAAGAAAGAAAGTCTCTACGGGTTGTTTTACAGCCCTGTTAGATGAAAAAATAATAATAAAAAAAAATTTAATAAAAGGGAGATGTTGTGGCCAACTCTGTTCGGCCAAAAATAAAATATATATATATATATATATATATATATATATATATATATTATGCATGCAGCGCAGGCCGCTAACAGCCCTGATGACAATTAAGGAAAAAAGGGGTCTCAGCACTGCCGCTGTTTCCAAACAGCTCTAGCGGGAAGAAAAAAAAATTATTGTTATTAATTAATGATGCCAGCGCTGGTAGAGGAAAAAAGAGAAGTTTAGCCGCGTGGCCGCGTTGGTGCAATTAGCCGCAATACTGGCGGCCAAAATCATTTCGCCATGCATGAGGATTATATAATTGGTAATTAAAGACTTCATTGCCAATGTTGGCCTACGTGTTCAGTTCGTTTAAACACTTTGAGCCAAGTATTTTAGGTGTTATAATCTTTGGTCAACAATTTGGTTCATAATCCTTATAAATCAAATTGTGGGGGGCATTTGTTGACACCTAAAAATTAATTCGGCCGAAATTAAATGCCGCATTAATTAGTCTCGGCATTTAATTCGATACCGTGGGTAAAAAATGGCGTCGTTTGAAGTCGAGCGGTATCGCAGAGAGTTAAAACGATACCGCGAAACAGAAAAACGGTACCGCAAAGAAGCTCGGCGGTACCGCGGCACTGGAAACGGCACCGGTCACCAAAAAACAAAAGAGGGGTGCACGTTTAGTCGTAGTCGGGGAAGGAGTTTTTGTTTGCTCTAATTAATTATTATTATTTTTATTCCTTGTTGGATAGGGAGAAGCGGCACCGCGGAGAGCTAAAACGGTGCCGCGGAATTTAAAACGGTACCGCGAGGAAGCCCAACGGTACCGCTTTACCAGCAAACGACAGTGTTTAATAACGAACAGTGTCGCGGAAGAAAAAAACAAACGGCTGGTTGGGGAAGAAAACGATACTGCAAGGCTGGAAGCGGGGTCGTTTAATATCAAAACAATGTCGCGGAATGGAAAACGACATTGTTTGACAGCATCGTTTAGTGAAAGGCGATGTCGCGGAAAGGTAAAACGACACCGCGTCAGTGGATAGGAGTTCGGCCAAAGGCGAGTCCTGGCAAGCCCAACGACAGCGCAAGACTGGAAAACGACGTTGTGTAATAGGCTAACGGTGTTGTTGGTCAAGCCGGGTCGAGGCAATTGAGTGGTGATTATAAAACGGCATCAATTAGTGAAAGGTGATGTCGCGGTATTGGTGAAACGACATCGTTACATGGACAAGATTGTAGGATTTGGCTCAACGTCGTTTCGCCAAGTTTATGCAAACAGGAGCAGTTTCGAGGGCACGTGATTATCACGCAACAGGGAGGAAGTTACTTGCACGGTTGACGGGAATGAAGACGTGGGAGATAAAGAAGCGAAGGCGGTTGCCACGACTACGGAAAAAGATGGCAGTATAAACATCAGGAAGAGAGAGAAGCTGGGGACGGCAAAATCAAATCACAACTGCACCATCGCAGAATTTATCGTTTTCTCTCTAGTTTTCGTAGAACCGCTCTGTCAAAGACCTCCTTTGCAGAGTCGTAGTCGTAGCTTGTAGTCGTAGTCGCGGAGCTCTCCAGAGGAACCTCCATAGGAGTAGAGGTAAATACTCTCGGTTTGGTTTCTCGTTTCTCGTTGAACACCCTCGTTCGAACGTAGTTTGGAGAGGTGGTGAACCGAGTAACGGTTGTTTGATTAGAGGTCAAAGGTGCATCGATCAAATCAACGACGCCGATACCCGCGGCGGATATTTGACGATCGTCTTGGTTTCTGCTTTAATCGATCAAATCAACGGCGCCGATTTCGGCGGCGGATATTTGACGATTTTGCTGATTTTGTGCTTGTGCTTACTTGAATACAGTGCGCATTGAACACGCGAGTTTCGCCAACGAAACAAATGGTGACATAAATTACAAAGACAGTTATAGAAAACAAACCAGAAAGAAGATAAGCGAATTAAAACATAATTCATTACCGAGAGTAATTATACATAGTACGGAAAATAAATTTACGTGCGGATCTGATCCCGGTAATTACAATTTAGTAATTACAGCAGGCTTGTGGGAGTCAAATAAAAGTTGATCGTGTCCCGGGGTACAAGCTTTGCTTGTTGGATTTAATTTCACCGTGTGATTCAAAGAAGGGGAGATTTGGTGACTAATTGCCGTTGACGTTGACTAATGACTTTGTCTTCACAGTTTCAACGTGTGCTCTTTCTCTTCCACACTCACCCGGCCTGGAAATGGCTGTTCACACGGATATGATATAATGATCAAATAAACATTGTGCATACCATATCCAATCTCTTCTCTATCCTTCTTTCCCAGGCAGGATTTCCAGTTCTGTTCTTTGATATTCCGCGTTTAATTTATGTTGGCGTATTCAGATTCTATGCAGGATCGTTACGCGTGCCATTGCTCGAATTCATCTCCTTCTATGTAAAATGAAGAAGAACTAACTATCTTTCCACATTACTAATGTTTTCTCAAGAAATACACCGCATTGCTAAGTCTTTACCTTAAATATCGTATACAAGATTAATCAAACGTGATTAAGGTCCTTAATCGAATGACGAATAGTCCCACCTACCACATCTTTTGTTTGTTGATAGCAGAGAGTAGTACACGTTTACGGCTGAGAAAGCCTTTCCGGTGGGCCCAAATCTGATCTTGGATCGGAAAGTGGCAGGATCATCGTCCACGTGGAATGGGGGTGGCATAATTCCAACAATAGTATATATGATGATGATCCTGCTAATAATAAATCTAGACGTCTTAATCAAACTTAACCAACGTAACATATCGCTGTTGCCTACTTGCCTTGCCTTTTTATCCTTCCTGTAATTTCTTTTCTTAATGCTTTTGGTTTAATTTCTGCCGTCGTTTGTGAGATTGTGGAGATAAAGACATCAACGTTTCATTTGGTCTTTGGGAGAATCATTTAGATGCCTCCTATTTGACCCAAAAATTATACTCAAATTCTCTCCCAGCTGGCTTGGGCATAGTTGCCCATAAAACAAATGGTTTACAGGCCCATTTGGACTTCCTTACACAAGGATTAAAGGATAGGAATCGATTGGGACAATTTGACTAGCCATTTATCATTTGGTTTGATCTCTTATAACGAGATATTAGTTATGATAGTAAATATCATTATATACAACCAAAAAAAAAAAAAAAAACTGAGTCTATTCATGAGTACATAGTTGAGGTGTACTAAAGAAACTGTATAAGATTATAATTGTGGTGGTTTTGTGTACCGCACATTAGAGGGTTGCTATATGGTTTGGTCCGGTTTCGGCGGTCTTTTCGAGAATATAAGGACCAAAAATTGGATTGGATACAGTCCGATCTGGTCCCAATTCGGTCTTGATTTTGAATTGAACTTGTGGGGATTTGAGTGGCCTGAGGCCTGAAAGGGTAAGGAGTTGGTTAAATTTTGGGTGTTGGGCTCTCTTATCCAGTCTTTATCCGGTTTTTGGTCCGGTCCCGAAAGTTTTTTTTACCTCAAATCTAAGCCCGAAAATGGGATTGGATTGTTTGCTATCTGGTACCGATCCGTCCCGAGTTATACAGTCCGGTTTCGAGTAAAATCAAAAGGTCTGGATCAAATAGCCAACACTGACGTTATCTTGTCTAATCATGAATCCGATGGTTGGGGAAGTAATCAAACGATATTGGTGGTCGTGAGCCTAGCTCGAGATTGCTCACCTTGTTAGTTGTCACTAATCGCAGCAAGCAACAGATTAATGGTAAATACTCTATATAACATGTAGAACTTTTTATTTTAGTATCATAAAATCCACTTTAGCAAATAAGCTACCCAAGCTCTCAACTCGAGCTATATATCAATTATTTTTGTCACATACATCATCATTGATCTTCTGTAGAAACAAACTTGCGCATAGAGCTCGAGAACCATTGGCTAGAGAAGGGAAGAAGCAATAAGCTTCAAGTCCTGAGAGGTAACAGCACCATCTCCATCCACATCCATCGCCGCCACGATCGCCTGGCAGTCCTCCAACGACATCTGCTGCTGGCCGCCGCCAGCTGCTCCACCCATAAACTCGAAAAGCTCCTCTCCAGTCAGAAACGTCGTCCCATCATCACCATCGTCGTCATCTTCCTCCAGAGCTTCCAACGCCGCCTTCAGCAAGTTCCCCAGGCACCGACCTGTTATCAAACACGATGAATATGTCGAATGTCTAAGTAGATGAAGGCCAGGACTCAAATAACGTGGCGAAGACTCGAATATAAGAGCTCTCGATCAAAAACTTTAACACAATGTCGAGAACCAATTCATCGACACTTTATAATAAACTTGGACAATAGTTTTTAAGAGCTAGAATGTTTTAAGAGGATATATGATTCAAAGTAACTTACCAACTTCCATATCCTTGGTGTTCATCTCCAAGAACTCTTCCACGCTGAGCTGGCCGTCCTTGTCTTTGTCACCCTGCTGCATCATCGCTCTAACGTCTTGTTGGCTGGCGTTGTAGCCGAGGGAGACGAGGATGCCTCCGAGCTCGGCTGCTGTGATCAGGCCGTCGTTGTTGGAATCAAAGGCCTTGAAGGCCTCCACCAGGGCTAGTACCTGGTTCAGGCTCTCCATTTCTGAGGTTAGCTGCAGCTGGGATCCCAACCGTGCCATATTGGGGGGGGGGGGGGGGGGGGGGGGGGGGGGGGGGGGTGGGGGGGTGGGATACTATACTCTACTCACTTGTATCCTTGCTTGTCAAATGCGCCCTTTATATAGATAAATGTTGGCCTAGCCAGCCAACTATAGTGAAAAAGATTACAAACATGAATAAAAAACAGCTCGAAGATTCGTTACCCATCTTATCATTTCACAGCATCCACGCATGTCTCAGCAATCTTATCATTACACACTTATGCTATTATATCTTGAGCTGTTAGTATCACGAATCCTACTAAAATTCACAAAAATTGAAGGCACAAGAAGTCACTAGTGAATAGTGATCAAGTGGCCTGTTGATGTGGACACATAGAGCAAAAGGTGAGCAGATAAAAAGTGAGCATTCTTATTCCATACTGATAGTAATGTGGAATGTTATCTTCTCCATATCCCATCCCGGAAAAAAAGAACTTATAACAGCTTTCATGAACTCAAAGTGCTGGCAATATGTTGCATACCCTGGATCCTATGCTATTTACACAGTGAAGACAGGGGGATTGATGAAGGATAAACACAAAAAATTCAACTAAACCAGTGATTATAAATGCGACAATTACAGTTTCGGTTATGGACTTACCGAAAGGACCAGGGCTCATCCAGTGGAGGAACTTACGGAAATCATCTCCACTATCTGGGTGTGAATCTTGCCACTGGTCGCAATAACTCCAACAGCGGGATATATGATCCTTCGTTCCACACCATCCTCTGCAAGGTCTAGTTCAGCCCCTGCCCAGTCAGTCACCTGCAAAATAAAAGAAACCAAATCAAAGCACAAAAAGATGGATAGCAGCCTTAAACTAGAGAAACAAAATGAAGACCTAAACTTTGGTGACTATGGATGTAATTTGACCCAGAAATAGTGGAGGTGACATCACAAATACCTTGCCCCCAGCTTCATGAACGCATAGCAAGCCAACTGCATGATCCCAAACCTACATTGTGACAAAGGAGTCAAAGGATTAAAGAAGTAACTGGCAGGCTTTCAGTTTTCATTTACTTCGGATGAAAAGAATACTACCTTGATTGGTATCCGTGGTTTCGCTCGTATAATGAAGACAGATGCAATTCCTGAAGCCACCATCATATACCTGGTTAAACTGGAGATCCAAGGAGAACAATGTGGAATTCGTTAAGAATGCAGATAACAGAACAGTGATGTAGGAAACCACCTAGATATTCACCTGCCACCCCAAACCTTCAAGAGAACCACACTCTTTCCACTGCCATCGCCAGCAGCATCAGTTGTTGCACTGAAGAAAGGTGACAAAGGCATTGATTCCCAAATTGCACTATCGGTCATGCAAAATCGTGCTTGGGATGCTAGCAGACACCCGTCAACCAAGCATCTACTCCAATCATAGTCAGATGGTTCAGCTGATCCACCCTGGCGGCCATCTTGAAACCTCCTTCTCCAGGTCCCACAACCAATATGAGCAGCCATTACAATCCCAGCTCCACTTAATGCATTGCTGACCACTGTAGTGGATTGGAAGGATTCAGAATCGTTCCAGTTTGGGCAGCCCATAACACCTAACACAATCTCTCCTTCAACCACAAGTGCCAAACCCACCTAATATTTGTCGACAGATATATTTACTCATTAAGACATCACAAGACCAGAGGAACATAAGCATACACTTTTATGAACAGTTATGAAGGGCATGAACAATTATCAAGCTAGTTCTCACACATTCTTACATAATGTACAAGTAACTGATTCATGTTAAGAACATACCACATATAAGGCTCCACTCCCTTTGAGAAAAGCCTTGGTACCATCAATTGGATCCAGGACCTGCAACAAGTTGTACAAATCAAATTCATGATCATGGGAAAAGTTGCCAATTTTGACAGCAAACTGCTACTTTCTGTCACTGGCGCATAGACTTTACCCAGTAAGTGGCTGGCTTATTCTCGTAAACAATGGCATTCTTTCCCCCTCTGTCAATTGCATCCAGGACTTGAGCTCGAGTCAATGGCTTGTCTGCACTTGATTTATCAGCAACCAAATCGACGACAGAATCCACGAGGTTATTTTCCCTCAAGAACCCAGAATCCTCTTCAGCAACCAAGGGAATAGCAGGGAAAGCTTGACCTAGCTCTGTCAACAAAAGAAGAAGAAAAATGTAAAGAACCGTATCTAATACTTTAGGGTCCTAAAATCATGCTACACAAGAATTCTGAATCGTCGAAAGGTCTGATGTCCTGTGGAGAACAAGTTCACCTAATACCCTTCAGTTGTCAAGAAGAGTAGACTCACCAAAACTGACGAAAGCTTGAACACCGAAGTCTGCGATGGTGACTGGAGTACTGTCGCTCTTCTCCACGGACGATGCTTCACTAGAGAGCACGGAGCTCTGCACCTGTTCAATCCAATCGAAGAAATGTCAACGAAGAAGAACGATTCCTGCTTGGATTACACTAACCAAGCAGATGTTAAGCGAAAATCTGAACCGGAAATTAGGTTTTACGTCGGCGCAGATGCGACAAGCGCGCTCCACGATCCCTATGGCAGCTTCTAGTTCCCGGCGGTGCTTGACCTCGTGAGCCGGGAATCGAAGACTGCTCGACCTGGGGGAAAAAAACCCTCAACACCTGTGAGTAAAACAAAATAACAAATTGAAGTACCTTATGTCGAAATAAGCCATAGAAAACTAGCGGAGCTGTACGGGTCAAAACCTTGCGAGGAAGACTCGTCGGCCGAGGGGCAGAGAGCGCCGGCAGGGGAAGAATCCGGCGGAGAAGCAAAGAGAAACGGATGTGTGGTTAACGAGATTCATGGCGGGAAGTGATTGCAGATGAGAAATGGATGTGGCGCTGGTGTGGGAGATTGGATTGGTGGATTACACATTGTAGGCGTAGCTTTACCACTTATTTTGAACTTCTCCTTTGTTCTTCGGGCTGGCCTACTCCCGCGGTTTTTTGTGTCAGTTTACAAAAGTCATCACCATAACATAGGTCACATACAATTCAGCCACTAGTAAACTTTAATTTTACAACAATTTGCGAACAGAAGCAAAACTTGAAATTACTTGCATAACTACATCATTTTCTCCACCACAGCTGGAATAGTTCACTCAAACTGTCCTAATAAACGGGTAAGTGTACCAGCATTTATTGTTAAAACATCATACAGATCCTAATTAGCTATAACATTTGACAACGAATTTTAACCATTACTCGATTGTCGACCCAAATCAAACTCAAACGGATCCCTAAGTCGTCAACAACGAATGTGCGCGCAATCATGGAAAAATCTACAAATTCGACGCAGGCGGAGTAATAAGGATCATACTAACAGCCCTGAGCCCCTTACTATTCATTGCTTTTGGGGTCTAGCAGATCCCAGTCCCACAGTTCATATGGCTCGGTTCCAGAGTATAATCATCCAGAGTATACACTCTGTCCTCTCACCCCAAGCCCTTACAATACAAATACCCCCACACTGCCACACAGTGCACAGCCAAGTCTGTTATTTTTATTCTCTCTAACCTGCATTTTGATATATAACAGAGAAAGAAGAACAAAAATGGGGGACTCCATCTTCAACTTCTTCAACCCTACCACCACCACTACAATCAGTCCTCGTCCTCCTACTACCACCACCCCAGTCGCTGCTGATTCTACACCACCGCCAAAATCTACAGATTACACAGTAGTGTAGAATCAGTAGGAGGTTGAGCTACCTACCAATCATGACACTTTGCTTGTACAGTTGTATGTCAGTACCCCGTCAATTGGAAAGAACTTCAGTTATGCTAACAAACACAGTTATGGACACCTCTAAGACTAGCCAAGAACAAAGCTTCAGAATCAGAAAGGATGGTTCAAATGCAATTTATAAACCACCGGTACCATGCTTTGATGCCACTTTCAATCAAAGTGATGATTTAATGAAATTGATAAGTGACCAACAGTGGCAGATAGACTTGAAAAAAATGATAGAATAAAATTTAAGGAACAACCCAATTAAAGTATGGAACATAAAATGCAGAGTGAGGGGTGTAAGTTAAGGAGAGATTAGAGAGTAGAAGAGTCATACCTGAAACTGAAACGTGGGTACGAACTTGACCATCTAGGCAAACCGTGGATCCTATGCTTCTATCTAGCACCATTATCTTGCTTCCTCTATTCTTCTTGTTCACTCTCCCCCCTCACCAACTGGACATGCTTGTAGAACTAAGTTGTAACTTAAGCGTCTGCACAAAAAGGTTCCTTTTAACTTCTGTTCGACTCCTCAGTTTACAGGATGAAGACAGTGGGAATCGATGAAGGATTAACAAAACCAGATTGAACTAAACCACTGATTATAAATGCGACAATTACAGTTTGGGTTATGGATTACGAACTTACCAAAACGACCAGGGCTCATCCAGTGGAGGAACTCACAGAAATCATCTCCACGATCTGGTTGTGGATCTTGCCATTGGTTGCAAGAACTCCAACTGCAGGATATAGGATCCTTCGCTCCACACCATCCTCTGCAAGGTTAAGGTCAGCCCCTGCCCAATCAGTTACCTGCAGAATAACAGAACCAAATCAAAGAACAAAAAAATGGATAGCCGCCTTAAACAGGAGGAAAAATCAAAGACCTAAACTTTGGTGACTATGCATGTAATTTGACCAAGAAATAGTGGTGGTGACAATTACAAATACCTTGCCCCCAGCTTCATGAACGCATATCAACCCAACTGCATGATCCCACACCTTCGTTGTGAAAAAAGGAGTCAAAAGGATTAAAGCAGTAACTGGAAGGCTTTCGGTTTTCATTTTCTTCGAATGGAAGATATACTACCTTGGTCGATATCCGTGGTTTCGCTAGCAGAATGAAGACTGATGCAATTCCTAAAGCCACCATAATATACCTGGATAAACTGGAGATCCGAGGAAAACAATGTGCAATTTGTTAAGAATGCAGATAATAGAACAGTGATAGTGGTATCTCTCTCATTTTAAATTAGGAAACCGTTACCTGCCACAGCAAGCCTTCAAGAGAACCACACTCCTTCCACTGCCATCACCAGCAGCATCAGTTGTTGTACTAAAGAAAGGCGACAAAGGCAATGATTCCCAAGTTGCACTATCTGTCATGCAAAATCGTGCTTGGGATGCTAACAGACACCCGTCAACCAAGCATCTACTCCAATCATGGAAGGATGGATCAGTTGATTCACTCTGGTGGCCATCTTGAAACCTCCTTCTCCAGGTCCCACAACCTATATGAGCAGCCATTACAATTCCTGCTCTATTTAATGCATTGCTGACCCCTGTAATGGATTGGAAGGATTCAGAGTCATCCCAGTTTGGGCAGCCCATAACACCTAACACAATCTCCCCTTCAACCACAAGTGCCAAACCCACCTAATATTTGTCGACAGATACATATTCAGAACTCACAAGACCAGAAGAACATAAGCATACCAGTATAAGCACTGTTATGAAGGGCATGGGCAATCATCAAGCTAGTTCTCACATAATCTTAAAATATTGTACAAGACTACAAGTATCTGATTCCTGTTAAGAACATACCACATATAAGGCACCACTTCCTTTGAGAAAACCCTTGGTACCATCAATTGGATCGAGGATCTGCAACAAGTTGTACAATCAAATTCACAATCATGGGAAAAGATGCCAATTTTTCTACTTTCGGTCACTGGCGCATAGACTTTACCCAGTAAGTTGCTGGCTTATTCTCGTAAACAATGGCATTCTTTCCCCCTCTGTCGATTGCCTCCAGGACTTGAGCTCGAGTCAATGGCTTGTCTGAACTTGATTTATCAGCAACCACACCGAGCACAGAATCGAGGAGGTTATTTGCCCTCAAGAACCCAGAATCCTCTTCAGCAACCAAGGGAATAGCAGGGAAAGCTTGATGTAGCTCTATCAAAAAAGGGAAAATGTGAAGAACCGTATCTAATACTCAAGGATCCTAAGATCGAATTCCACTAGAATTCTTAATGCTGAATCGTAAAAAGGTCTGATGTCGTGTGGAGAACAAGTTCATTTCAACTCCCTTCAGTTGTCAAGAAGAGTAGGCTTACCAAAACTGACGAAAGCTTGAACACCAAAGTCAGCGATGGTGACTGGAGTACTGTCGCTCTTCTCCACGGACGCTGCTTCACTAGAGCGCACGGAACTCTGCACCTGTTCAATCCAATCGAAGAAATTTCAAAGAAGAAAGAAGAATTCCTCGGACTACACGAACCAAGCATATGCTAAGCGAAAAAGCAGAACCGGAATTCAAATTTTACGTCAACACAGATGCGACAAGCGCGCTCCACAATCCCTATGGCAGCTTCGAGCTCCCGGCGGTGCTTGGCCTCGTTAGCCGGGAAGGGAAGACTGCTCGCCCTGGGAAACATAAACCCGGCACCTGTTAATACAGCAATTTGAAGAACCTTTCGTCGAAATAAGCCATGGGAAACGGGCGGAATTTTTCGAATCAAGACCTCGTGAGTAAGACTCGACCGCCGAGGGGGAGAGAGCGCCGGTGAGAGAATAATTCAGTGGAGAAGCGAAGAGAAACGGAGGTGTGGTTAACGAGATTCATGGCGGGAAGTGGTTGGCAGATTGAGGATGGACGGTGGAGGCTGCTGAGCTGGCACCGGCCGCCGCCGTGAACGAATGGATGGAGCGCTGGTGTGGCGGATTGGATTGGACAGTGTAGTTGTCTTTCGTTTGCTCTTCTTCGGGTTTGCCCATCTAACTCCCGCGGTTCTTTTTGGGTCAGTTTACAGAAGTGGTAACCAAACCAAACCATGGATCCTAACAATTACTATTCTACCATAAAAAAAAAACAATTACTATTCAGTATTCAGCCACTTAATTTAAGCCAATTTATGACTACGACCTGAAACTATTTACAAAGCTATATGCATTGGCAATGGATTTTTAACCATAATTAGATGTCGAGCCAAATCAAACTCAAATGATTCATCAATAGACGATTATGAAAGTTAATAATAAACAGTGGGAATTTTTCTAAAATTTTTATATAAATATTATTTATTTTTATACCACGTGGCATCCACATCATTAATATTGGGTGATTGGACTATAACATGGCGAGTTGACTGTTAGTCAATGGATTTGACTGCTCAACTTAACGGTCAACTCTCGGAATTTGCTAGTTTCGTAAAGATTAGGGATAGATCTGGTCACGATGTTATAAATAAAAAAGATTGGTCAGGATGTTAAATATGTGAAAAGTTCAGGTTAGACAAATATATTAACCCATTTATTTTGTTGTTTTCTTGGGTGGACAACACAATTCATGCGTTCTTCCTTTCGGTCAGTCTTGCACTTTGTAGAAATGATCACCGAACTTTGGGATCACAAACAATTCAGTCACTAGTTTTTAACATAGTTGTTATGCTAGGCATGCCGACAATACAAGCAGGTTCAACCGATACCGATTATAGACACGCCTGGAATGCTCTGGTATAATCGACGTGATGATCTATCACATTTAAACAAAATGTTACCATTTTGGTGAATAAAAACATTGATTTGTTCTTGATATTTTTTTTTAAATAAATGCAACGCATCTCAACCTTCATTCAAAATCAAACGGGGTTTAGAGAGTCCTTGACAGTCATACAAAATCTAGTAGTATAATACATTATCTATAATTGAAACCTAGTGGAGTAGTGGGTGCCCAACGACATAGAATGCACATGGTTCGCAAGATAATCAGTGCACTTATTACCATCCAGATAGATATGATGAATCCACACCTCCAGTCAAGTTGGAGCTCGGAAAACCATATGTATAATGGTTGCGTGATGATGCTTCGACGTCTCAGGTCTCGAAAGGAGTTTTATTGCTCACTGCGAATCTAGCTCCACTCGAATATGACGCTAACCGAGGTTTCAAGCCAACTGAAAACTTTCTACAACGCCACTCAACTCAACCCAAGTAATGGAACACATTCTAATATTTATGTTATTTGTTGGATTCAAGTATGAATGTTTAAATGCTTATGTTATTTGTTGAGTTCAAGTACGACTTTTTGAATGTTGGCGTCAAATGTTGTATTTAAATATGATAATTTTTTATTTTGTGTTGGAATGTTGTATTATACTTAAATATGGATGTAGATTTTAGAGAGATTTGTCTTCAAATATGTTTTATACTTACATAAATTAAGTTAGTCTTAATGATTTCTCATTTGCATACATGTTTTACTAAATCCGACATGAACTGACTATACTATCGATTGGACCATATCACTTGCCAAATCAGCATAACTGTATGAGTCCATTTGACAACCTTGAACTTTTAACTCATTTGTAACTAGAGTTTTTCGTCTTTTTGGATGTCTTCAGTAGGCTGTCGATTTTAAGGGGTTCTTGGGTAGTTTTGTTTGTATAACTCTTGTCTTCTTTTGATATCACTCGGAAATAAAAATAAAAAAACTAGAGGTTGAATTTAATTACAAAACTATTATTTTGTATATTTAAGTCACATATTTGATACTTCATTCAAAGTGGATAATATAAGTGCCCATTTTTCTAAATTAATAATATACTAGATAATTGGCCCGCGCTTTGCGGCGGGATCATATATTATAGTATCAACAGTATAATTTATAGCTGAAAAGTAAAACTACAACCCCCATTCAAAATTTCCTGCCCATAGAGTGATTTTAAGAAGCTGATGTGGCAGAGTGTTAAGCGGGGGAAAAAGAGTCCCGCCTGATTTCAGAACCAAAAAACTCTCCACTACCCACTTTTTTCTCCTTCCAGGCCCACGTTCTCATTTAATTTATATAAAAAACTCTTCACTACCCACTTTTTTCTCCTTCCAGGCCCACGTTCTCATTTAATTTGTATTAATTTGTATTTTTTATTTCCGATTTCCCTTCCTTCTACTCTTTCACATCATTCGAATAAGTTTCTTGGCCTTCAGAAAACCAAACCTTGACTCAATCATCTGGTTCTTTTATGTGCTTGCATCTACCTTTGATTTCCGTTCTCTAAGCGTTAGATCGGTATTGGTTTTGCCGTAAGTTATTCTTCCTCTTTCAGATTTCTGTTTGTTGTTATCGCTGCTTTTAAGTTTTAGGGATTCGGGTTCTGGGTTTTTTTTTCCAGGGATTCGGTTGCAAAGATTCATCTCCCTTACCTTTGGTTCATTCCGTTTTCTTTATTCTCTCTTACCTTCCTCGCTTCATTCTGTTGATTGGATTCTCTAGAGATCAAAAGGGGATTTTTGATTTTTCCCTTTCTCTTGAAAGTAACAAAGCTGCTTACTTTAAATTCCACTTCGCTTAGACTGTCTTCCAGAGAGCAGCCGACTGCCGATTTTGAGCTGAGTTTTTCCGGGCCGCAGAGAAAGAAGAGGAAAGAAAGAGACGTTCGGCGGCGGCAGCCAGGTACTTCGTCAGGGTCGTTTTCCGGGTCAGTAAACCGAAGGGCCGGCTATAAACTACCGCTGGCCTGGCGGGGGAAAAGGAAAGCGTAAACCATAAGGCCTCGGGGATCCATTTCTCTCGCCAGCCCATACTTCAGAGGCCCAGCCTACTTGAGTCCAGAACCAGCCCATCGCCGACGAAATTTGGCACGCCGTCCCCCACCCGCCACCACGTATGAGACATAATCAATTTACTTTCTTATGTTAACTCTGTTGCAGGTAAATGTCGAATCCAACTTGATCAGTAAGGTTTTCTCTCATATGTTTCTAGGTTAATTAATCTAATGGGACTGGCTATGATCTGATAATGTACTTTCAGCTCTAATCACTAAAGAAGTATAAAGTAGGCGGTATTGATAAGCATGCTCCACTGGTTAGTGTATTGGTTCTACCAGGCTTTTTTCCCGTTATTACATAAGATCATTGGACAGTTTTATCTCACTCCATTAGTTTGTTTTATTGTTCTTCAACTTCATTTGCATTGTATTTGTATTGTGACATTAGAGTTGGAATCCATTTGTGCTAAAAGTACAAAGCGTAAACTGCATAATTGAAAGAAGGGATAAGCTTGGTATAGTTAGAAGAACTAGAATTGGTAAGCACTTATAGTGCTTTTCTTATTGCCAGCTTGCTTCTTTTTCAAACTTCTCTTTGGATATGGTTTTTATGGATGCCTTTGAATTATATTTGTGTTGGCCATTACATTGTTGTCCTTCTCGCTCTTCCTTTGCATCCCCAAGCTTGGAAGCCATTCTGTTATATGTGTTTTGTTCATCAATTTAAATTATGTCTTATATAGTTATATTTTTCTTCGACTGTTATGTTTGTGTGGTGTGTTGTATGTGTCATTAACTCGCACAAACTTATAATTGGTGAGGAGTTCAACTTCTGTTGTAACAATTAATTAATTTATATGAATGGCAGCTGCAAAATTTACTGGAACGGGTGCATCATTTACCACGACCTCTATTTCAGATTGCATCAGGTTATTGGAGAATTTAATATGGATAGTGCAAATGTCATCCCATCTGCCCAACCACAGATTTATCGATCGTCTGTACCATGTGAGTGTCATGGTTTAGCACGCAACTGCTTCAATGCAAACTGACATTAATATTTTCCCTTGAATCTCATTTGTTTAGGGAAACGTCGAGCAGTGTTTATTCATCCTGAAGATCAGTACCAACGCTGTGTTTTATCTGCTGAAGAGGAAGAAGCATTTGAGAGAGGTGTGTTATCTGTGTTTTAATTTTTCTAATTAGTTCATCTATTCAATGAGTAATACATGGTTTTATATTTAAATTCTGCAGAAGAAGCTGCCTTACAATTCCAACTCTCTCAACTTCGGCGAATACTATCCCAAGTCGCCCGTAAGAGAAGACATCATATTTTGAAACAGAAGGTTCATAGGAGGGGCTTGCCTTTTGAACACCAAGGTTGTTGTTTGCTAAATTTTGTAGCAAGTCTTACAAATTAGGCTATTCTAGATTGTTGAATCTTTATTTATTTCTTTAATATCGTATGTGTTTTGGTGTTGTTCATAGTTTTGGAGCCGGAGTTTAGATTTCTATTACAAAAGCAAAGTCGATTACTTCGACGTATTCATCTGCATAGAAAGAGACGTGGCCGAAGTTTCTTTCCTACAGAAGTCAATCAAAGTATGTGGCTAATGGCCACTATTATACATGAAATGGTTCATCTCTATTTTGGTTTAGTTTTTGTACATTGGATATATGTTTTTGTGTTCTGGTCAACATATTTTGTTTCCTATTTTGGTTTTAGAACATATAATGTACCCATTTATGCCATGCATATAATTTAGTGATGTACGCTTCATGTCACCTTATGCAAATAGTGGATTGTTTTTAGATGTTGATGTGTCAACGGCAAATTTGTGTGTTATGAACAAACTTTGGTGTTTCCTGAAATTTGACTTATTCTTACTTAAAATGAGCGGTATACCAATCTATCTTGCCTTGAGAACATTTATTTTAATAATTGTGTTTACTATAGCGCGCCTAAATCGGCTTCACAGTTTCTCAATCTCATTCAATTTATGAATTACTGTGACAAAAATTTATTAATATTACTTATCTATTTCACTAGGTCTTCCGTTGGTTGAATTTTTTTTATATTGGTCCACCTTCATGTACGTGTCAACATTGTGGAGCAGTTATGTGGCGGTTCGAGAGTACTTTATCTACACGTAATAATGTGTTGCCTGCATTTCCTTTATGTTGCAAACATGGTAAAGTGAAATTGCCTCCCCGCAGAGATGTGCCCGAATTTCTTAAAACTCTACTTGAAGGGGATACACCATTAGCGCGTCACTTTCGTACTAACATCAGAGCCTATAATGGGGTTTTTTGCTTTATTTCTCTCGGAGGTAAAGTCAATCACTCTATTAATGATGGTCGTGGAGTTTATGTATATTCAATCGGTGGTCAGATTTATCATCGAATAGGATGTTTGGTTCCTGGTGATGGGGATAGTCCGAAATTTGCACAGCTTTACATTCACGATTCAGATAACGAGGTGCAGAATCGTATGGACTTTTACTCCACTGATCCTGCCAAGAATCGGTTGCGCCAGTGTATTGTTGAAGGCCTCCAGCATATGTTTGATGACAATAATATCCTGGTACGTACATTTCGTTCTGCGCGAGATAGGATACAAAACTCTGGTGTCCAGGAGCTTCAACTGAAACTATTGGCTAAGCGTGAAATTAATAGTAGAGAATATGATTTGCCCTCTGCGAATGAGATTGCAGCATTGATTGTAGATGAAATAGGAGAGCAATCATTTTCTCCAGATATAATTGTTCAACAGAAGGGTTCAGAAATGGAAAGGATTAGCGTATACCATCCAAGTCTGATGGCATTACAATATCCAATTTTATTCCCATATGGCGAGGATGGGTGGCATCCCTGCATTAGCTATAGTCACAGTAGCTCTAATATCAGTGTTGGAGATAAAATGATAACCCAGTGTGATTTCTATGCATATCGTCTTCAAACCCGTCTCCAGGAGTCGAATTCTCTGTTATTATCTGGTAAATTATTTCAACAATATATGGTGAATGCATTTGCGTTAATTGAGGCTGAACGCTTAGAATGGATGCCTACCCATCAGTCGAAGCTAAGAGGACACTACTACAAGGATTTGTTGAATTCTTATTTGCGAGGGGATAGAGATATCAAGCTTTCTGGGAAGCCAGTTATTTTAGCTGCCTCACACACTGGTAGTCCAAGATACAAGTATGAGAATTTTCAGGATGCGATGGCTATTTGCAAGTGGATTGGTTATCCTTATTTGTTTATAACATTCACTTGCAATTCTAACTGGCCAGAGATACAGTTAATGGTTTGATTTGATTAGAAGGTAAAGTGGCAAAGATCTTGACCGGGCTGACATCACCGCCAGAGTTTTCAAAATCAAGCTTGATGAGTTTATGTTAGAGATTCGCGAGAAACAAATATTTGGGAAAATCAATGCATGTATGTGTGCTTATTCATTCGTTATTTATCTATTAATGTTCATCCATTACTCTCTTACCTCATTGAACTAATATTCCTTTTCCACTATTTGCATCTTGCTGTACAGATGTCAAAGCAATTGAATGGCAAAAGCGGGGTCTCCCTCATGCACACATATTGCTTTTTTTGGCCTCGGAGAAAAAATTCCATGGTCCTGCGGCTATTGATTCCATAATATGTGTTGAAATTCCGGATCCTGATCTTGATCCTGAATTGTATGCAGTTGTCACAAGTTCAATGATGCATGGCCCGTGTGGTACAGTACGTCCTAATAATGTGTGCATGAAGAATGGAAAATGTAGTAAGCATTACCCCAAGGAATACTCTTCTCAAACAACTATTGATGAAACTGGGTTTGCTAAATATCGTCGGCGGAACAATGGTAGAGTTTT